TATATATATATATATATATATATATATATATATTCTCATTTATGGCCCTATCGATTTACAATTTTGATATAAAACATGAAGCAACCTCTATTCTTTGTATGATTGAAATCATGCATTGTTAAGCATCATGACTATACAGTGAAGATGGGTTGAGCCCTCGACTTTATCTTAGCTACATGAAGCCAATTGACAATTGTTATATCCTGACACTTTCAATGTAATGTATTGGAGCATAATAATGAGTCGCGATATTTGTTCAAATGTTCTTCAACCCTATATATTAATCTCGAGTGTCCCAAGTGATCACCATGATAATATTAATTTGAATGACTCGTTATGTTCGAGAAATACTCGATAATCCCATAATATCACTCCCTAATATAATTTCTCATATAATCTTTATGATTATCAGTCTTATATATATAAAAGGTCTCGATTATATTGACTCATTAAAGCCTATAATTTTTTTAATTCTATATATCATGAGATTTAAGAAAAAATATTTTTTTAATTTATTTGTACTATCAAAGTATAATGCGATGATTAATGTAATACCATGATTAGTGTTGATATATTTTGGATTAATGTTTAGGCTCAACAAAGTTAATAGATCAATTATTATATTAAGTCGAGTTATAACAAATAAGTATTATAGTCAATTTATTATTGGACACCGTGAGGGATCTCAAAGGATTACCTATAGATAGTGAGGCTAGAGGATATGTTATAGCATAGAGTCATCACTTAAATTGGCTTCTGATGTATTATACGAAGATTCGATCCAAACTATATTAGACTATGAAGATTTTAAACTCTTGAGGAAGATTGTAATACCCAAATTTAGTCCTACCAAATATGTTATAGTTAGCTTAGGTTTAAGATTATTGAGTCAATGGTTTAGGCTCAATAAGTTAATGAGTTAGTTATCCCATGAGATTAGGCTTAATTATTTTTTACTAGTAGTTTATGCTCAATAGAGTTAACAATCAGTTATTCAATGAAAACGAGTCATAACAAATTAGTATTAGAGATGACCTACTTATGGTCATGGAAACGGATTCGAGTATGAAAATATTATTCATGAATAGAGCGGTTGATGCGTCTTACTATAGTCTATTTTAAATATTTAAGTTAATGATTTAGGTTCAAGTAGTTAATGACTTAATTATCCATAAGGCTAAGTCTTTATAAGTTTTTAAATAAAGTTTTTAAACATAGATAAAATATGTAACTTGAGGTGCAAAGAAAACATATATCATAAAACATTCAACGAAGATATAGTAGATAATCATCTATTGAAGTAGTGGGCATAAGATTCACATATGGATGTAAATTAAATTAAATAGACTATGATACTTATTAAATACCAAAAGATATCATGATATTCTTATTATAAAAACAAGAACCATACAAATAAATATTCGTATTATTGTAAGATAAATGTAATAAGTGAGATGAGACAAGATAATCAAATGGATGTGCACGATGGTGATGTTAATTGCCATGAGATGTTTCGATATCTTTTAGTGTTGTAGTAGAGGATAAATTATTATTCATCAAACTTAACTAGCCATATGTCCCGTAACAGTGGTGTCCTAAGGAGAGATTCCTCACAAAAATATAAATAGAAAGAAATTCAATAAATGTTCTATTTGTCTTGAAAACAAGATTGAAAAAGCAAAAAAATATTTGAAAGATTAAAGATTCAAGAGAGATGAGAGTTATGTAGATATTGTATAATTTATATTTAGAGCTATATTATCCTTGACAATAATACAACTTAATCCTTATATTTTGTGTATCTAATGTGACATGATAAGAAGCAACATAGTCAATCAATAAACTTTATGAGGTGGTTGATTTGATACCAATACAATCAACATGAACAAATAACTTTGAACATTTATACCCACATATCTCCAACTAATTTGGTTCACTAATCATATGTTTTGGAGCATAATAAGATCTAAGTATCCTTAATTTCTCTTAAAAAAGTTTCTTGCACCACTAGGGAATATGTAGCTTGTATGACAATTTTAATTTGATCTATCTTAGAGATCTTGGGTTTATTAAACCTTGTTAGTCTGATAAAATTTTTTCTATCTCAAATATAATATTAAAAAAGGATTTGAATGCTCTTAGATTTTTATCCACTATCAGATATATTTAGAATTTTATCCACTATCCACTATCATATTATAAATTTATTTATATACTATTACCATATATTTTATATTTATAAATTTTTTTATTTTGTATACTATTATCATATAATATTCGTATGTACTATTACCTATTTTAAAGGAATTATTCCATAAAATGATGATGTGACAGTTAAATAGGTGGACCGGTAATAATGGTAGGGAGTTTACATGTCAATTTTGCATTGTAGGTCGATTTCTTTCTCCACATTAGGTCAAAGATTCGGTTGATCGGATGAGAGCTACAAAGGAATTGGAACGCGACGACTGAACGTCGTGGGGAACGACACATGGAATGGTCAGAACTGGGAACCCATTGTTGGCAACAGCTCAGTCATGGGGGGCGGCCCCAACGCATGCCATTGAAGCGTAGACAAGCAAAAAGAAGAAGAGTCACGAGCTCACGTACTTCCAAGCACCAAATCTGAAACTCCCACCATCCTCCTCCCTCACCTCTCTCTCTCTCTAAGAAGAAGACTCACGAGCTCACGTACTTGCAAGCACCGAATCTGAAACTCCCACCATCCTCCTCCCTCACCTCTCTCTCTCTCTCTCTCTCTCTCTCACACACACACACACACACACACACACACACAGTGCTGTGTTGTGTTCAGGAGTTGCAAACAGGTTTCTGCTGCTTCGCAGATGCCTTACTGTTTACTCAACTTCTTTGGTGTGGTGATACCCTACAGAAGGCCGCACAAGTTAAACAACAAAGATAGCATAGACTTGCTAGTTCGGTGATGTACTCAAAGCTGTCAAGAACTGCTGTTTCATGAATCAATCATTCACATAGAGACAAGGGCGTGTCTCTCTTCAGATCCACAACCAACATGTCTTTACCGCGCGATACGCTAGATTAATGCATGGAAACCTCAGAGCAACCTCGGGGTATGTTCATGGAGAAGATAAATAATTATTGCCTTGTTACGCGTGTGGACATCTCGCCATTCCGAACCTCCAAAAAGCTCATGCTGCTTGCATTTTTTGCTCCCGAGTTCTCTTCCGAGTCAAAAGCCTCTTACTAACCACACTCGAGACGTTGGTGAATGCAGTGCTGTGTGCAGCTCGATGCATGGGCGAGGCTTTAACACCGCGCTCTAGATCTGCATCCATGAGGACCATCTCTGGCTTCCTTGGATGCTGTAAAGTAGTTTCCTTCGACACCAATCCATGCACTCTTAGCATGCATAATGCAGAAAAGATCGGGCATATTGTGAATGTAAGCAAAACCACAGTGTATTATAATGGATTGGGCCAGCTTGCAAGACTGTCAGTGCAGTTGCCTCACTCTCCGGACTAATCGGCTTCTTCACGTGAACCCTAGTCGAGCATTCCCTTCAAACGCTATATATGTCACGTTTCTCACTCTCGAAACCTTCCACACCAAACACTGGGAGTGGATCCCTCAGCAATGGACTCCTCCAATACCTCAGCCGTCCTCATAGCCTTCATGCTCTTGCTCTACTCCACTGCGCCCATTGTTTCCGGCGGCTACTGCCCCCCTCCCATGCATAAGCCACCCAGATCCAAACACCACAGGCCTAGGTCTCCTGGAGGCCCTCCCACAGGAAGACCACCTATCACAGTGCCGCCGGTCATCGGTAACCCGCCGTTCACCTTCCCGCCAGTGATCGGAGGACCGCCTGTTACGGTTCCCCCGGGCATCGGTGGGCCTCCGGGTACCAACCCACCGGGGAACAATCCTTCCGTTCCTTCTCCGGGTGCGCCGGGGTCGACGACGACATGCCCCGTGGACACCATCAGGATCGGCGCGTGCGTTGATCTGCTGGGTGGTCTCGTGCGCGTCGTCATCGGTGATCCGGTGGTGAATCAGTGCTGTCCGTTGCTGCAAGGACTCTTGGAGCTCGAGGCCGCAGTATGCTTGTGCACCAGCATTAGGCTGAGGCTTCTCAACATCAACATCTACCTGCCACTGGCACTGCAGCTGCTGATTACGTGCGGGATTACTCCTCCTCCTGGTTTCACGTGCACCGTTAATTAGAACCGAGTCCGGCTTCCTCACCTCGAGTTAAGACTCTACACTTGTTTAGATTCCAAAACACTCGAGCATCTGAACCTTCTTTCTTCCTTCTTCTGATATGCTTTTCTTCTCGATATGTAGCAGGTCGACAGAGAGTATCGTATCTTACTAGCAGATGAGTAATGGATGCAGGTGTGATTATTTTAACGCAGCTTCTTGTGGCAATGTGTTTGTGGTTGGTTTCATCAGTCAACGGAGTGAAGGAATGCATGCATGCATGCATTTCCTCGTGTCCTCAGGATGTTGTAATGGAATCCAATAAAGAGTTGTCGAGATGTGGATTGTACGCTGCCAGTGCAAGTATTGGATCTTGCTGAATCCTAAGTGCACTCTCCACTGTTCGGTGTCGGAGCTACCGGACCTCATCAGCCACATCCATCACTGATTTCTTCTGGGTTTCATCATGGACTCCAAAAAGGAGTTTTTACTTACCAAACATGATAATATCTTCGCAACCTTGACAGAACTCTATTGTTCGAGTCAGCACGAGCTTTGATATATAAATGAACTTAAAAAGAAAAATTAGATCTGAGAATATTATCTCATGTTGATATACGATAGTCTCCATGTCATGTTGTTTCGATCTCATCAAATTAATAGGTCACCATATTCATGAAATTACTTCGTGATTATTAGTTATATTCACAATTCAAATTATTCTCTGTCTTTAGTAGGCAAACAAAAATAGTCGATAAGATGAAACCTACTGAACATAGAGACGCTTGCTTTCGATCACGTCCGTTCGATTCCCGACTCGAAGATCCTGAAATCTCGTCCGTCGATCTGGCCGTGCCGCAGATTGGCGTTAGCCTTCGATATCCGGGAAAGATGTGGCGTGGATTTTTTTTGTTTATATTGTTATTTTATTGTAAAATTAGGACACGCAGCAACTTTCCGGAAAACCCCTTTGCTCATTCAAAATCACAGAATATTTTACTTTTATACACAAATGAGGAAAGAGAGATTAAAAAGGGTACCATAAACAAAAGGTTTGGTGTTTTGCATATTTACTCTGCAAAAAAAGCATTTTTCTCCTTATAGACTTTGATTAAATGTATATCCTTGACAATTAAGATTATTATCATATATATATATATATTTATCTAAAAAGAAATCTGAAATTGGACGATCCATTGAAATGGAGTCATCTATTAGAATTTCTAAAAGATAAGGGGTGTTTTTGTAACCAATCATTAAAAAAAATTAATAATTAAAAATAATATAACAAGAAGGAAATTATAAATTGGGCGGTACATTCTCCTTCGCCGGCCTCTTTCCACGGTAAAGCGAGTCTCCGAAAGAGGATTGGAATTCCTCTCATGTGAAGGCAAACCTCCGCCCTTTCGCCTTCCCTCTCCGTTGATCTCCGAGATCGGGTACTTTTATCTCGTCTCTCGCTTGTTGGTTCGATCGATGCGGTCTTGCGACCGAGAATTCGATCTGTTGACCTTCTTTTGTGTAATGTTCTTCGGGTTTTATGCCTGGATTTTGTTAAAATCTGATTGAATCTGAGGAGTTCGCGCGTCGTCGAGGGTTTTGATCTTTGAAATTTTCCTATTAGGGTTGCTGTTGGTGTTTATCGTAGCGCAGATTAGGGTTCGGACGGGATTTCCCTGACGATTATGGGGAAAGATTTCCCTGGCGATTATTGATTGGAAAGGGAGGTGCGGTATGAAACCTCTCTTGATAGATTTCTAGATCTCGTGAATCTTGATATTCTATGGGATTTGTTTATGATTTCGTAGTGGATTCTTACTAATGGATTTATGCGTATGTCATTCCAAGCTGCCTCAGCTGTTGTTAGGTGCGATAGCTATAGGGTTTTTCTTGATAGCGGGTTGCAGTATTAAGGGCTTGGTAAGTTAAGAACATGGTTTGCTGGGGTTTGGGCTTCTTGGGATTGATTAGTGAACTTGAGAGGGAGGAGTAAGAGAACATGTACATGTTATTTGTTCATTTTCTGAATGTTTTGGTTTTTCTTTCTTGCTAACTATCATGCCATAAAAAATACTGGTAATTTGTTGTATGATATCGTGGTAAATTCTTAAGCTTGCAATGGCCTTGATGTGGTATAGTTGTTTTTTATTTTATCTAGGTAGCATTTGCATTTGTTCTATGGGTGATGATCTTTCAGTGGATGGCGCAGCTCCATCTTCTTGGGATCTTGCACAACGACGATATGACAAGGTACTTATTCATTCCTTGCTTAATGTGCTGGAACAATTGTAGGCTCAGATTTTTATCATGTTGGAAGTTGTTGTTAACTGCTTGCTTATTATATTGAGTTGGCTACATATGGGATATTCAGGATTTCTTTAGTTAGACCGTATCGTAGGATATTAGTCTGGTGGAAGCGTATAGACTGCTTGCATATAAACTATCCATATCATTTCATTGCTTTTTCCCATCATAATCTATTCGAGTAGCCAGCTGCTTCTCTTTAACACATTGTCTATCCATATCATTTCATTGCTTTTTCCCATCATTATCTATTCGAGTAGCCAGCTGCTTCTCTTTAACACATTGTTCCTGAGTTTAGCATCATTTTCTTTTGTAGTTTTTTTCCTTCATCTTTTCATTTTGTTGTCATCGGCTCAGGGTTGTACTTGTTAAAAATAATGATATATGAGGTTTGCACACCTTTTTCAAGGAATATCTTGCTTTCATAGAGATAGTGTGCTTTATTTAGCAAATTTTTATGATATTTGTTAGGCACACATAATTAATTCTAAGTCTTTTATTATTTAATGGTGATAAATAATAGGAAGGATATTTTCTTGCATTTCCACTTTAGTTTATTCAGATATGAAAAAAATTTAATATTTACTTTGGGAAAGTTGGATGGCCAAGGGCAGAGACCAAAACACATTCTTTAGTCTCTTCTTTTTCTTCTTTCATGTGCACCTCCAAAATGTCGAGGCTCTATGCATGTAGGATCTAGTTCACCACTCTTTTCCAGCTCAAGTGTCTGTCTTCCATGCTCTTATCAGTGTCCTTGATGTCCATGTGTTTTTTTTTTGGCAATCAATCACTGAGTCTTGTTTATTGTATTTTTGTGATCAATCACTGAGTTTTGTTTATTGTATTTGATAAGCTTAATATGAACTATGAAGTTTCCAGGTATTGATTCACAAAAAATTATCCATGTTGTACAATGCCGGAACAGTTGATATTAATGGGATACTGCTCATTGTAGTCTTCATATTCACCAATGTGTCTAACTAACATTTGTGGTTCTTGAATGGTTATCCTTAATATGCTCAAGAGCATCATTTGATCACCAATAAAGATAAGGTGCAGTTGAAGATTGACAAAACACAGTATTAGCACACACCTAGGCAAACATGCATATAGAAGAATGGTCTTGCTATATTTTGATTCTCCAATTCCATAGCAATTTCTCATTTTTTAGTTGTGACATATAAAACACCATATTTCTCCACCACAAAAAGATACTAATATTCAAATTTGCCTTTTTTTTCCTGTTTATTTCCAAAGATCTGGATCATTTGGAACTTGGTTGATCTTCTCTATGAAGTTGTGGGATAATACGTGTTTTCTTTGGGTGCAGAATGTTGAGCTAGAGGAGAGACTGCGAAGGTCAGCCTCATCGAAAGTTCCCTCAGATCCCAATATATGGCTACAAATGCGTGAAAACTATGAGGCTATCATTCTTGAAGATCATGATTTTTCTCAAAAGCATGATGTAGAGTATACGCTTTGGCGATTGCATTATAGGAGAATTGAGGAGTTCAGGGCACACCTCAATGTTGCAGCATCTGCCGGTTCAAATGCATCACCTGCAGGGAAGGGTCACATTCGGCCTGATAGAATCAAGAAAATACGTAATATTTTTAAAAGTTTCCTGACAGAAGCAACCGGATTTTACCATGATCTAATACTGAAAATCAGAGCAAAATATGGCCTGCCTTTTAGTTATCTTGATGAGGGACCTGAAAACCAAACTGTTTCTACAAAAGACGAAAAGAGATCGGCCAAGATGAAGAAAGGACTATTATCTTGTCACCGTTGTCTGATATACCTGGGAGATCTTGCTCGTTACAAAGGACTGTATGGAGGAGACTCAGTTAGTCGTGATTATGCAGCAGCTTCTGGTTACTATTTGCAGGCAGCTTCTCTTTGTCCTTCAAGTGGCAATCCACATCATCAGGTTCTTCTAACTAGTTTCTGAAACATATATATGGTTCTTTATGTTCTCAATGCAGGGCTTCAATTAATAGTGGTTGTTACTTCTCAGACTCTTGTGTTTGTATTATTCTTTTTTTGTCATGTTTCTTATATGCGGATAACTTCCGTTTTGCCAGCTTGCCATACTTGCTTCTTATTCGGGTGATGAATTGTTGGCAATCTACCGGTACTTCAGGAGTTTGGAAGTGGAAAGTCCTTTTTCAACAGCAAGAGATAACTTGATTATAGCTTTTGAGAAGGTATGCTATTTACACAACTGACCGATGTGCCATTTGATTGTGTTGACAGATCTTTTGGGCAGTAAAATACACTCTCCAATTAGGTAGATTTGCCTGCAGCCTAGGACACTTTCTATTATCTCAGATCATGGCTTTGCTGCCTTCATGAAATTCTGGTCTTATGTTATGCTGAACATTATATGGCATTGTTAGTTGTCTTCAGCAAGTAGTTATTGCGTAATCATCTGGATATATTACAACCTTCTAGTGAAGGATGATGTGCACTTTCAAAGTAAATGTTTTTGATCCTGTTCTCTATCTTAACCTTTGATGACCATGATGCTTTATAATTGGTTGGTGCAACTTTGAGGAATTTCTTGCAAAAGTAACATTGCTCGTGTTGTTGCATGACCTCATGTTTTGCATAATATCTTCTTTTTGCTTTTTTTCATTCAGCTTTACTGATTGATGAGTACTTTCACCTTTTCCTAACTTTATTTTTTTCTACAGAACCGGCAAAATTACTCTCAATTGCCCAGAAATCTGAAAGTTCCGTCAGGCAGGGCACCTGGTACAGGTGGGCAAGGTACAGTAGGTGGGTTTCTGGCAAAAGATTCTGAAATAGAAACCATTGTCAAAGAGCAAGATTTAACCATTTCAGAAGTATTTAGATCTTTTTGTATACGTTTTCTCCGATTCAGTGGCATTCTCTTCACACGGACAAGGTACTTCAGTATGACTTTTTTCAGTTATGCATTTTTAAGATACTTGCATACTCATTGCTCAATTTTACAGCTTGGAAACTTGTGGAGAAATTTTGTCCTCGGTAATAAGTGATCTTCACGTGCTTCTTTCATCTGGTCCCGATGATGTGGTTAATTTTGGTTCTGATGTTGCTGAAAATGCATTGTTCATTTTGAGGCTTGTTGCAATTCTTATATTTTCTGTACATAATGTGAAAAGGGAGTCAGAAAACCAGTCATATGCCAAGATCTTACAGCATACAGTGTTGCTGCAGAATGCATTTACAGCTGCCTTTGAGTTTGCTGGTTATATTACAAAGAGATGCACAGAGTTACATGATGCTGCATCAAGCTTTCTATTGCCAGCTATTCTGATTTTCATTGAGTGGCTGGCATGTCATCCAGATGCAGCAGCAGGTATTAATGTTGATGAAAAACAAGCTTCTGCAAGATCATTCTTTTGGAGTCAGTGTGTGTCATTAACAAATAAGCTTATGCTAACTGGATTTGCATCTATTGTTGGTGCCGATGATGAAACCTTCTTTTTTAACACGAGTAAGTATGATGTTGGAGAAAGTGGTGACCATCTTGCATTATGGGAGGATTTCGAATTGAGAGGATTCTTACCCCTAGTGCCAGCTCAAGTCATTTTAGATTTTTCAAGGAAGCGTGTGTATGGAAATGATGGTTTCATGGAGGACAAGAGTTCTCGTGTGCAAAGGATCATTGCAGCGCTACGGGCTCTTATGAATGTTGTTAGTATTGATCAGCAGAGAATTTATTTTGATTCCAATCTTAAGAAATTTGTAGTGGCTACGGAGCCTCCATTATCCAAAGATCATGTGGATACTGACTTTCTTGATGTGCCAGAAACAAACGATATAAATCAAGCCTGTCAAATTCAAAGTTTGGCTGAAGTTGGAGCAACACTATCCAGCATGCCAGGTCATGATATGACACTATGTAAGCTGCAGCCACATATAGAAGGAGAAGAAGAGGAAGAAATTGTCTTTAAACCAACAGTTTTTGACAAAGATCCTAATGTAATTGCTTCAAAGTCAACTGTTCAAGATGTCAATTCCATACAAGTTTCAGCATCTGGTCATTGGGCACCTTATGTACCAGAGCTCCCTGGACCTCCCATTAGTGTTCATTTTTCAAGTGCTTTAAATGTCAGTTCACAGTTGCAAACAACTGGCCCTAATGTCTCACAAATGCCTTTGCAATATGTCAACCCTGATGCTTCAAAATGGTCCGCTGATCATGAAGCATTCTTACATGATGGCCTGAAGAAGATGAACGCAATACAAAATGGACATTTTGGCAATCAGATGTTGAAAGGGTTTCCTAATGATTTTCATCCCACTCCATTTTCATTTGTACCTCCTGATCTAGGTGCAGCAATTACTTTGCCTAGTCATCTTAAAGCTACAGAAGTTATGGTACCTTCAATACTTGACACCATGGTACATTCAGGAGCAACCTTTGATGGTCTGTCTGATAAGCTCACAGCAGCAGTGCCAGCATCAAGAAGAAATCCCGTAAGCCGTCCTGTTAGGCACCTTGGGCCTCCACCAGGTTTTGGCCATGCTTCATCCAATGAAAATGTTCGTAATTCTGTTCTAAAGAATCAGAAGCCGCAGACAGATGCTTATAGCTGGCTAGATGGTCATCAAGCTCCTTCAGTGCAAGGTGTGGAGATGGAGAACTCTTTCATACAAACTGCACGTCAATATCCGATTGTCACTACTGCTACAAATAGTACCTCTGTGACCAGCAATTCCATATTCCCGTTTCCAGGGAAACAAGTGTCTAAGTCGCCGACTCAGATGGAGGCAGAGAGAAGTTCCCAAGATTTCCGTCTTTTTGAGCAACTGAAGCCATATGCTGAAAAGCAGCTTCAGCAAACAAATTTGCAGCATCCGATGATTCCTGAACAGTATCAGTCACTTTGGTCTGGCCGGTAGTTCACATGAAACTCTTTATGAAGATTATCATTGGTAATAAAGAACCAACATTATAGTATTTTTCTGAAATTTGCATGTTATATTTGAAGAGTAATGGAGTTTGTCTAACTATGAACCTTCTGCTTTAGTTGTTGCTGAGAATCTGTCACAACGTTGGCCTGCAGCTGCTGGTGCTTGTCGAATTGGGCTCTACTGCTGTGGCTCTCCTGATGTAGTTAAGTTAATATCGAAGTGGTTGGTCTTGGGAGCAATGCAGGTGGTTGCCCTTGAATTGGTAAGTGCGAATTCTCCGGCTCCCACTTTCTTTCGTCATGGTTACTTAATGGTATTCAGAAGATGTAAAAAGATTTGATGAAATTTCGTTTTTTTTAAACATATTGTTTCTCTTACACTAGGCTCACATAATTATTTATTAATAACAATTTCTTTTTCGTCATGGGCAAGTTATTATTGTGCTAGTACTTATTATGATCCTTATTTGATTGGTATGTAGTGGATCTGTTGACTACTAACGACAGGGAGCCATTTATCTTTTTATCACTAAATTCCCTTGTGATCTGATCGAGCACTTCATGAAAAACAAGGAATGATATTAAATCAAATTTTTTCTGGTTTTATTTGATATATTTTATTTATTCAAATGAATTCGAAGATGGACTTTACTGTTTCTCAATTCTTCAAATTAAAGATGGATTAACGCATCCTAGTAGTTAATAGTTTAATGCTGCAGGGATTTGGTTCATTCCATTGTAAGTCTTTTGTTCTCTATCTTCTCCTTTTGGCTCATGTTGTCTTGGATCCCCTCATCAGGTCACAACTAAAACCTGAGGGAAGAATGGAAACGATGAGAGGAGTTGAATGGAAGAGAGGTGGAAGACAGCAAAGAAGGGAACATACCAGAGGATGAGAGGGAGTGTGTCAGAGAGGGAGAGAGAGAGAGAATGGCTAGTAGGGGGGAATTGGAGGGGGGTGTTTGTATTTGCATTCACATATATATGATGAATCGTGAATTGGAAGGCACCTGCAGACCCAACGGCCGCTAGTGATTCTTTGGGGTACTTTTGCTGATTCCACAGCAATATGGAACATACGGCATTTGATGTGGTATATAAGTTTCCCAGGATGCATTGGGATGCAGCTCAAACAAGATACGCTCTCTTTGCATGCAAAGGGTATGGGGTTTGGTACCCTGCATATCCAATTGTCTGGGCTCCAAATTGTTGCGACCTTATGTTTTTGCTATTTTCTATACTTTTCTAGTGATATTGGTACTGTAGCATATGCCAGGGCATACAAGTCTTGTACACATGAAATCTTAATAGAAGTAGGAGATGACAAGGTATTCATGGCATTATATTATACAGTATTATAATATAATGATCTCGTACACTGTATTATCTTAAATAATTGATGATCATCTTGTGTAGAAGTAACAAGAACTATACCAATCATTTAAGCAGATGTTAAAGAAAGCACTTTAAAGCCATCCATGATGAGGAAGCTACACATCTTAACTACATACATTTTGCCATTATTCAGTATGTCTTGATTCCTTTTATTATAAGATCTAAGCGGCTGATTTACATTATTCAGTATAGTAACAAGTTCAGGTTGTACTGGATCTCTAATATGTTATGGAGTACACTACACTGTACAGAATGAATTTGAGCAGAGTTAGTTTCTGACACGGGCATAACATGTACACGGCAAGCATTTTAAAGTGTTTTTGCTACATCGAGTAGAACTTTAATAAGGTGTATGTACCATGTACCAAAGAGTGCTTGTCATAGAGGTTTCATGAAATTCTTCCAGACTATGGTAGAGAAATAGGAAGGATTCATTGAGTTGTTCAGGCTCTATAAATTTAGACAACTAAAAATTGTGGAATTAAATATCAGTGTCCTTCTATACCAATCTATAATATGTCAACAGACCTTATGGTTGATTAATAGCAGTTTGTCTTCTTTTTTTTCTTTGGGACTTGTTGGTCCATGGATACCAAATGTGCATTCGGTGGCCATACCCATTCAGATGGCTAAGAGTCATGCTTCATTCATGATATATCTGTTTATGATGTGTTAGGCAGAGAAGATAATTGACAAAGCCTTAATCTGATTGTTTCTTGTGTCTGACTTTTAAGAGCTGGCTGTTTATATCTAATCATTCTAACTCCTTTAGTAAGAAAGTTCTTTTTTATTTCTTTATACCTGCTCTTTTTTGTTGGAGTGCAGTTGATATCATGACCATATGAATCATGAAAAAGATAGTTTAGGCCACCCTAAGAAATAGAAAACTTAAGCCAGATGCACGCCGACATAGCTTGTATAAATTTAAAGGGACAGAGGTTCCTCAATTTTAAAAGAATAATGATTAATTAAGTAATATTTATCCCTGTATCTCCTCCTTCCAGGATGTGCCGAGTGCTTCAAAAGGATGGTGAATCATGAGCTAGAAGCTAGTCCAGTCCTTGCTTGCCGAGAGAGGAAAGGTCGTGAGATCTTCAACAGGCTTTACATCGCAGGAACCTGAGCCAGAGTTGTGGAGGTTTTTCTACATCTTATTATCCTCTAGTAGTCATGATGGGTCGTCGGTGAGTGGTTCGTAGATGCCGCACAGAATGTTGTCTTCTTCATCCATAGTAGAAAAGTTGTGGGTTGCCCCTTCGACGCTGCACCAAAAGAAACTTCACACCAAGGCTGCTTATCGATATTGCTTGAATCAGGAAACTATTTGAAGTGCAAAAAACCATTATGCTTGTTGACTTGATGTGACATCTACCTTATTTTCTAGGACCTTGTCTTTCTTCTTTGTTAATTTGGGGCTCTCAGACATCCCAATGTGTTTTGATCTTTGTTTCGTTTGAAAAACCTTCATGAAACAATATGTATGGGTGTCGACGATTGATGTCTTAAAATAATCAATTGCTTGTTTGATATTATCATCTAATGAGTTCGGATAGGTGGCTAATGATCTGTTTGCTGTATGGTTCGGCAGATGCAAAGAGCTGATGAGCTTTTGGTTTCAACATATTACTTCAGGTATTCTTTTGCCTATCTATCGCTGCCGCCTCAAAGACCGCCACGAGTTGTTAATTGATGGCAAACTATGTTGAAAGTCCACAAAACTGATAGTTTCCAAAGGGGGAATTCTATCTTATGTTCTTCTATTTTTTTCGTACAGGCCAATGCTATGTGCATTGATCGTATTGTCTTCCCACTTGGAAAGTAAGCTTTAGATTTGTGTGTTTGGGAAAGGAAAATTTTGCTCAAAGCAAGACCTGCTGTGGCCTCAATATTGTTATCATAGAGTGAATATTTCGGTGGATAGTGAGTGAGTGCACTCTTATGTAGTCCATAGGATATATCATGATTTGCTAATTGGTTGGTGCACTCTTAATGTAGTTGATCGGGTATTATGAGTTGCTAATTGGTTGTCAAACTACGTTTGAGATCATTCTTTGTCTTTTGTTCGAGGGACAGTTCACCTTCTTTTTTTGTTGCATAATGTTATGGGCATTAGTTGTATTCATTTTCGAAACTCATATATTGTATTCTTTATTAAAAAAATACATAAAATTTAATATTATATATAGTTTTCTTATTTTGTTTTTGTCTTTGTTTATATTAAATATTATAAAATTTAATATAGTTGTTTAAATTTGTATTAAAAAAATAATTAAAAAAAAAAAAACTCATGTGGGTGTCAATTAAAATATTCTGATTATTATTAGTGCACTGTTACACTAAGCCCACATTTTCTATATTTTTGATCCCATAGAAAAAACGTAGTGGTTTCACATTAGAGTAACTCAACCAAATGACCTCACAAGGTGGTGAATGATCCTCACAGGCAACCATCATGTTGACCCACTGGTAAAGCCATCCATTGAACCTGTCCGCAAAAGTCAACTGTTGGAACATAACAAGAGACTGCATTTTTACTGGCTCGTACGGAAACATGATCATCATCATATTGTGGAAAATGGTCGACCTGCACACATGGCCATGCAACAAAAACCCATGGGGCCAGCTTCCTTCATGGAAGGTTTAACCTTACATACAAGTGCTAGAGTTTAATCGCCTGGCGCCAACACTAGCAAACCTACATCGTCAAACACAATAAGAACACAAGGAACATAAATACTGCATAAAACAGCTCGCAGTCTCATGCTTCTTCAGTGTAAAACATCATGAAAGTGCCTAATCTTTCTGTTATAAGTCGGCTTGACTAGATTTTGATCTTTTCCGCAATGATCTTTTTGCTACTGCAACATGTTTCTTTGCCATTACTTTACTTGAAATTCTGTCATTCTCAGTCTCACTGGTTTTCTTTTCCCGTCCTTTGTTATCCTCAGCGGTCTCATTTTTCTTTGAAGTTTCATAAGTTTCCTCTTTCTCGCTTGGTGATTCTTCTGCATCCACATTTTTTTTGGACGTGACATTTGTTGATTTCTTTCTTGAAACCTTTTCCGACTGGTTTCCAGTTAAATTCTGTAATTCTGGCACATAGGCTGAAGTCTGCACACAGATATGATTTAGTTGAATAACCATATAAATACACAAGAGAATTTTACACAGCAAGGACTTACTCTGCCAGCAGCTGTGATAAATTCGATCTTCATTCCTGTCAAAAAAGAAGACCGCAATTGTCCTTAATAATAAGTTTTGATATGTAGTTTTGCATACTTCCATATTTGCACACATTCATACATGTACATAACAATAGGTCAGGAAATATTATTTTCCAAATGATTTGTGGCCAGTGATCAGGCAATAAAGAATGTCACTTTCCAACTCATGCAGCACATCTATCTTAGATGTCATGGATTATCTATCATTATACATGTTCTATTTGTTCCTATTCAAACCACACACACACAGTCATTTTGCCTGGAAGTATTATATTGCCAAGATTTTGGCAACCGACACTGCTTGCTGTTTAGAGCTTGAAGAACGCAAAGGTGCTAATAATAAATATAATTGTGTTGAGGCATTTATGAGTATCATCACATCTGGGAATAAGTTTCTTATTCCTTGGTTTCCAAATGAAATATTAAAGCACCACCTTCTGATAAAGTATGCAATATTCAACTAAAAACAATGAAATGGTGAATTATAAGGGGAAATAGATCTGAATGCAGATAAAGGAAGTAACTTCAGCTGCAGCCTGTTTTACCGAATGCTAAAGGTGTCAACTGATTTTCATCGGCAGGCATGACTTACCAGTGGCCATGCCATAGTGTTGGTCCACCAAGAATATAATTTTCCTTTATAATCTAAACACACAATCTTGAAGCTCCAGACATTACTACTTTTAGACAGCACAGAGTGACTCAAAACATATTCATTTGATCATTTCCTTTAGTGATTTCTATGAAACTTGAGGATAGCCATTCTGCTATCACTGGATTGTAAATGCAACAATTGTGAGAGCTTAAAAGATGTTGCTTTTCATTTTGCTGCATTGGAAAATTATAGCTGAAATAAATGATTTTAGTGTCTAAAGCAATCCCATCATATACTGGACCTCAAGCAAACATGCTATGAAGAACTGTTTCCAGAAGATCATATCTGTTATTAGTAATCACTTCCGTATCTTACAGTATTGCTCTGGCATTAGCAAATTTTAGAACTTCCTTTTGTTATGAGAAACCCTTCATGCTCCTATTACCCAAAAATAGGGCCTTTCATTGTTTTGTGACATCTGCATCTCCACCATGCATATACTAAATGATGACTGTCCAGTTGTTTCAAAATTAGTTGATCAGGAATATTAAAGTTGAAAAAATGCATGCTAAGCTATGCCAAGTTGCAACTGCTATGGCAATCCTTATTCGTAACAATTTCTTTTGGTAAGCATGCCTTTTCGTTCCCCATCTCACCATATTCATGTACGACCTTGTTAATTTCTATGACAAACCAAAGATGGATCCACAAGTTCTTGTCCTTGAAGAAGGTCTGGAGCAACCAACACGTATGTACATCTCCTGGAGTCTCATTCCACTATTCACATTAATACAGCAATGATATATGTAAAATCCATGGAGTTGGGAAAGAGTTGTTCTCATTTGAAAGATGTAGGAGGTGATTTTTATGAGTACCATGATACATTGCATCATTCAGTTCATTTCAATAACAATATTCTAATTAAAAAAAATATATAGCAACACCCATGATATTGTTATTTTGGGCCAACAGGCAAACAAAACTTTACAACATTTTTAAAAAGTTTAGTAAGATGCTAAAAGAGTACTCCACCATCAACTGATTACCATTTTTTTCAGAATTTGAAACTATAATACCATCCCTAATCCTTAACAAAACAATCCAACCAAGTAAGGCTGAAGAGGGACTGCTTTATTGTCATGGATATCATCTATAACTAACAGTTAGTTTAGTGTAAAATTATAGAATTGGAGCTCCTACGTCCTTTAAGTTTGATTTAATGAGCATGAATTCAATAAGAGGTACAATGTCTTCCAAATCAAGAATCAAATTTTGGATGACTGCTAATTAGAATAAGTTAGACGAGCATAAAAATTAATAATTTGAAATAAATTTTGATGTTTTATCAAACCAATCTTTGAAGTTGAAGCAAATGCATTCATTTATGATAGTTGGCCAATGGTTGGGAACCAAACCATCCATAAAGGCTTTCCTGGGTTTCTTTTCACGACAATAAAAAATCCAATCTTGAGGGTACTGACTACAATGAGCTCCAATTTCCAGAGTCTTGTCAATTAATTACCTGTAAATCCATTTGGCTAAAGGATCAATATGATCGATCAAAAAAAGAGTATCTTACCATTGACCTTGCCAGGCCTTTTCCCCCATCGAAAATGAAACAACCATTCTTTCGGGAAACGATTGGAGTCAGCATCAACTTCAACAGCATATTCAATAACCTACAGATATTTTTTTCTGCATTTGTTTGTAACAATGACGAGTTTCTTTCACTTGCTTAAAACTGTCAATTGAAAGATATATAACATTGTGTACATGACTCACCTCTCTGATGCATCTGTGCAGTGACTCGCAGCACTCTTTTGACAAGCTTGAAGCAATTTGAAGAGGATGAATCTTTGCCTAAACATCGTCAAAACCTAAAGTGTTACAGGCATCTTCAAATGAAAACTTCAACAATTCTATTGTACATGAAAATCTATTATGAACTAACAGAAATTATTCAGCACATACTTATGAACAGAAGAGTATGCACAATTAACCAGGCTTGGACTGAGCCTCTGACTGGTGGAACGAGAATAAACAACATATAACATCTTCCGCAACATTATCAATGAGAAACAGACACGCATTGTCACATTCATGGAAGAGAGGTCAAGAACCCAAGGTGGCCTTAATGATGGTTACATCCTGTCTGACTAAATTTGATTTGTTCTATTCAGAAGTAGCAGGGTGGTTGGACACAGTTAATTAAGGAACCTCCTCAAATGAAGCAAGAAACAGACTAATTAGGGGGACCCTTCAAATGATTTCAAAGAAACAATCTTTTATGGTTGGAGATAGAAGAAGAAAAAGAAAAGAAGTTGGACCTACCCGCCATAGAAGGTCTACATCTCGTACTTAGATTTATCTGGGAACAGTTTGATACTCCAAAAATATAATAGTGGTAACAAGTTACAAATTTTATCAAGAAAAAGGTCATTGAATATGTCTAGACATGTATGTAACACAGAAAGGCAACACAGATAACCTGGTAAAGCACCTCATCAGCGATCCAGTTACCAATACCTGAAATATAGCTCTGCATCAAAAGAAATATTCTTATTTCAAAAATGTCATGAAATTATATTGCAAAGTTAAAGTAAATGATTTTTTTTTTCAAAGAAGACATCCAAATATATAGGAAGTCAAATCTCATGGTAAAAGTGAAAAACAGCAAAGTCAATATGAACACAGATAATACAGCCAAATTCACTTTACAAGGATTATTTTGAACTTTCAAAAGAAACATTGCAGCATCTATCAATCACAGTCCACCCAACTTTCTGTACACTATACGATTTTTAGGTTGTACAGCTATCTTTGTTGGCTCTCCTATACAACTTAAATCAATTGCGTATACCATAGGAGTAATCTTCACTCACCTTTGTGTCCAGAATATCTTTTCTCATTTGATTAACCATCACATTCATAGATCTGCATTTGTCTGATGGTCAACAAGAATGTGATTGACTGATTCTCATACAATGTCCTGAACTTTTATGTCCTCACAACATGGTCAAGACTCAAGATATCTACATTACAAAATTCCTATAACATGGAAAGGAAGTTTTGTTATGAAAAAAATTTGGTGAGCTAGATGAATAATCAATGTTATGTGTCTTATGTCTTACAATTTCAGCCATTAGAAAAACAAACTTCTTGAGAGATGAAGCAGACAAGTCCATCAATGATGATGCATAACTTCTTATGAACCGGAACATATCATTCAGATGATATGCAATTTTCGCAACTTATCAATGCTAGAAAAAGGTGAATAAGATGCCATGCCTCTTATACATTGACAGAAGATCAAGTAACATTCAGGATTGGATTTTAACAGATGTAACATCCTATATGGTAGTTCCAATAATATAATTAACCTGATCCAGTAAAAGAGCCTTTATTGCAGTCTTCTTTTTGCTAAGTGACTCCACAAAGTCACCAACTGGCATAAGCTCTAACAGAGCATCTGGCCCTAGCTCAGAAATTGGAGGTACAGATTCTGGCTGCAATAAACAAAGTTTGTAAGAATAGCGACAATGTTAATGAAGATTGCAATAAAAATATGTGTGGAACAATGAATGTTGGAGCATACATCTTCAAGCAACCGAACTCGGGCAAAATGTCTCTTATCAGTAAAAGAAAACTCCAGCCCATCATCTAGCTGCAAATTCAGTAGACAAGACGTAGCCACGTTAAAAAAGGCTGTTATTGTCACTGAAAACAGAAGAGATAACAAAAATTCATGAGTATATTTCAATAGAGAGATTAACTCATAGCACCAGGATGATTGCCGGTACATGGTAATTACATTAAGTCCTCAACCCACAAAATGAACCTGATTGAAAAGAATTATTCTTCAAAGGCCACAAATATAGAGGAACATCAGACATAGCTAAGCTTCAAACATGATATTATTACAGTTCCTCTCTCTTCCATCATTATCTAGGGCTCCACTGCACAGAGTGACACGAGAACCCTAACGTGTAATGTAGAACAAGCAGTTGGCTTGACAAGTAGGACAAATCTGTTTTACCAGAATTCTTGATACTAAATTTTAGCAACTTTTAGTTTTTTTATAATTTAACTCAAAACTTTTTAATTAACGGAATAAAGTTCACCGATATATAATCAAAAAGTCAGTACAGAAATTATTTGTTCATTTTCAAAAAAATTCTAACTGAATACAAAGAGTTGAAACATCAACAAGTAAAATTGCTTTCTGCCTAAGTTATCATATAAATGCATCAAACCAAGTTTGCTGATATTACGTAAAGACTACTGCTGTTTTCAACTATAACTAGGCCCTCCTTAACTGGAAAATCTCCAAGCTCAAATCTTCATTGAACCCCTACAACAAATAACGGAGTTCTCATGAAGTAGCTACCTAATGTGCAACTAGTCCTTCGGATATTTACCAAATATGATTGAATGACTTAAAATTAGGTGCCAAGCAGCTCACATCTCTATTGTAAAGAGAAAGGGAGCTAATTGCATCCGTGAAATTCTCATCACAACACTGAAACTGTGAGACACAATGTGTTATAAGCAGAGCATAAGAAAAATAAGCACAGGAAAAGAAGAACTTTTACTTCAATGAAGACCTTCGAGTGCTTTGAAGGCCATTCATCGGTATCGCTCACCGCAGACCTAAAAACAACCGAAGCAATTTTAACACCCGATGAAAGCTCGGATTTTTCTATGATTTGATATATACATGACCGAAAAAGACAACCTCTTGTACTTCGTTACTGCGACGCCCTTGATGTAAACGGCACCCGCCATTCCTAGAACCATCGAAGACGAAGCGAGAAGCTTAACAGACGAACGAAGAGGAAGGATTACGATAAGTGGGAAAGGGAATACCGACCGAACTGGAAGGTGGGGAAGGGCGGAGAATCAAGGCGGAGCCAGAGATTCTTGCCCTTGCGGAGGGTGGCGAGGATGGTCTTGCCGAAGAGGGCCGCCTCGAGGTCGGAGCGGGAGACGCCCTCGATGACCTTGAGGTCGTCTGCGACTGAACAGGCGGCGATCTTTTTCCCGGTGCAGTGCTCCTCGATCGCCCGCCGCGCCGCCTCCACCTCCGGGAGTTCCGGCATCCTCGAACCGCTCTCTCCTGGCTTCGTTGCAATCTCCGTCTCCTCTCCTCTCGGCTCGTCGTCGCTAGAAACGAATCGGATCCGCAACGATCTATTAGCCATTTATCAAGGATCCGATAGATTTCGGATCCGCATGTAAATGCATTCATATCCGAGACCCAATAACTAAAATACAATAAACATTTATTTAAGCTAAAATAATCCTAATGATTCTTTTAACGATTCTATTCTTTAAAGGTTTTCAAAATATCATATATATATATATAATTTTTAGTATTACAATTTTTCTTGCATGACAGTAGATATTATGATTTGATATTAGAGATATGCTTTGAAATAAAAAAACTTGATATTGTAAAAGTATTTTAGATTTATATTTATTTATTAACATTATTCGTTTACGAAAAGATGTTATTGAGTTTTGATTTATCATGCTTAAACGATTTAACAACTTTTAAGCATATCTCTAATAGAAAAGTAATTTATTAACATTATTTACTTTTCTATTAGAGATATGCTTAAAAGATGTTATTGAGTTGCTTGCGTGCTAAGTGATGTAAATAAATTAAACAACTTACAGTACAGTCAACGTGACATCAAAGTTAAATCAAATAGTTGTTTGATTTACCATGTTTGCTTTTATAAGTGACATACTCAGTAAAATACGTAACTCGATCGCTTCTTATTCATCTATAAGTGACATATAATATAATATAATAACAATACTGTTACTCCTCAACTCTACTTAAAAAGAAAATAAAAATTAGTTTACATTGATTTTGATGACTAATGTGTAATGTCTTCCGGTAATCGCCAACTCATAAGGAAATTAAAAAAAAAAGAAAAGGATATTTGAGAGTGCATAAGTAAGCCCACGTCACTGATTACTCATATATATATATATATATATATATATATATATATATATAATATCCTTTAATAAGGGATTTTAGTGTTGTTGAAAAATATCAAATTTAGAAGGATGGGGTACGTAAAGAAGTTATTTAAGATGAATTATATGTGTAATTTTACCGTAATGAAAATTAGCACAGAGGATTGGTCAATGGATAGCTGGTGGCTGTTCCACACGAAACATCCTAACAAACAGGCGCGGGGTCCTCGTGGTTTGAAGAGGTCGGCCGTGTCCGCTCTCCCTCTTTCCGTCGATCCCCTGCCACTGACCAGACGCAGTTCTCCGTTCACTTCATCAGGAGTCCGCTGTCCTTGTCGCCTGCCTTCGCCTCTCGAATAAGAGAACAGAGTTCGTTTCTAGTTTCCTCTTCTTCTACTCTTCTAGGGTTAGGTTAGATCGAGAGATAAAGAGGGAGAGAAAGGGTGACAGAGCTGCGTCGATGGATAGGCACAGAGGCGACCGCTCTGGGGACCGCCACGGCGACCGTTCGGGAGACCGCCAGGGCGACCGGTACGGGGACGGCGGGCGGCGGACGTCGTCCCGGTGGTCCTCCGACAGCCCCACCCACCAGCACCATCGTTTCCCCAGAGGCGGTGGCGGTGGCGGAAGCGAGGGGTTCTCCAGCGGCGGCGGAGGGGCTGGACGCTACCACCCCTACCGTGTTCCTCAGGACTCCCCTGTACCGCCGCCTCCTACTTCTGGTGGCGAAGGGTTCCGCAGTGGTGGCCGCGGCGGCGCCGGTGGGGGTGGCTTTGACCCTTCAATGCAGATGGGTGGCCCTAGACGTGGCGGGTTTTCTGGCCGTGGAGGCCCTCCTACAGGTAGCTTAATGCATTGGATCTTTTCTCCTTAGGTCGTGTTTAGGGTTCTTGTAGGCGCATCGGAGTTTATGATAATTTACACTGGTAGCGAGCTAGGGTTTCTCGGCAGCTAGTCGTGGTTACGTGGTTGTTCTTGGATAATATCTGCTCTTGTCTTTTTTAACCTATGCCTAAGTTTACTTCCAAGGCTCAATATCCTCATAACAATTAGCGCTGTCGCTATTGCATTACTTTGACTTCTTGTAGGAATCGTTGCCTGGATCTGAATTTTTGGGCTTCGTTTGAAAAATTAGAGGAATCGATCAAGGGCAAGATTAGGTCCTACAATGGCTATGCTTGCTTTCATTTCCTTCGCTAATGATTTATTATTCCATTGAATCAACCTTTTGCTTTTCTCCCATTTGGAACTTTGATTAACTAAAATTGATTCCATGGGCTTCCTTGGAACCCCAACCAGCCGTGCCTGACTTCTTCTGCTTTTATGATTGCCATAACTGGCCACTGGCCAGCATGTGTTACATATGTGAATTCTGAACTTGTCTGTGTCCCATGTGGAATAACTAAGTTCTGCTTTTCGAATGGGAGCTATTTTTATATGGTATTTGTTCACTGGCAGGACTTGATCTGAAATTGGGATTTACTGGGCCTCAAATTCCACGGATTTGTCTCCTTGTCTCTTGCTTGTGCTGATAATACTGTATGTCTTATTCGTTCACCATATGTTTTTGTTGAACATCTGTCTGCTCCATTCGAGTTGATCATATGGATTCCTGATAAGTCAATGTTGCCTTGATCATATAACTCAATGACTTGTATTTTATTCTCTTTGCTTGTGATTGCTATGTGTGGTCAGTTTATCTTGTAATATCTCATTTTATTTAAACCAAACCTATATATTATGCATGTTTTTTGTTGCTTTTAGATTGACAATTTATGATTATAACACAGTCAATGTTTTTGGCCCTTTGTTGACCTATGCAGCACATAAACTTAAAAGTTAAATTACCTAGCTTGTCAGCCACTAGTGCAGCGCATATACTTCAAAGTTAAATTACCTAGCTTGTCAGCCACTAGTTGTATCTGAGCTCACTTATGACTGTTAATTGTTTTTAGTAGCAGCGATCTAAAATTACCTTTGAACCTTCACTGAGTTATCTTTTTCAAATTAGCTATAGCAAAGTTAAAGTTCATAATATCCTTCTATGTTCATATCCTCTTTCTCTCTCTTTCTAAGTTCTCATCGGTGTCCTTGATGCATATTAGCCATGCGATTGCCACATACACATAATTATTCTGTTGTTTGTTGCATTCTTGTATGATATTCTGCTCCATCATTAAACATCTCTCAAGTTTCTGAAGATTGGGATATTTATTTGAGTTTTGGATTGGTATCAGTCAGAATCAACCAATTGAATTGGTGAATTAATGTTTTGGCAAAAACAAAAAAAAGAACAATAGTTAATATTTTTAAAAAAAGGTGATATAGTTTGTAAATTCATTCTGTTTGTTATATAATTTAACAACGCATTCTGTTTGTTATATGATTTAACAACTCATTCAATATATTTATTCCAGATTATTCATACAACATATTTTATTATTACATATATATTAGGCTTCATTTTGTTACTTTTTTTTTTGAAAATGTTTTTGACAAACCATACTATTCATGTCATGTTGTGGGGAAAACTCTTATCTAGATCTTGGCGATGGGCACAAATTTGCAAAACTATTTATTGGATCAGTTCCAAGAACAGCAAGTGAAGAAGATGTGAGTTTCTATTTTATATGTTGCTTGCTTTATTTTTTATGTTCCAATGTGATCCAATGCATATGATTATCTTTGGAAACTTAAGTTTCTGAGATGGTAAACGTTTCCATTTCTCAGTAGTATTTTAGTCAGTATTTTAGTGAAAAATGATAAACTGAAGTACAACTACAAGTTCATTTATTTTCTAGTATTGTGTGAGTCAAATTCATTATATTTGTAGTAATAGTAAGGTTATAAAGAATAAATTAGGGTTAAGGTCCATTTTAGCCATTGTGATTTTGGTCATGGATCACTTAAGCCCTTATGGTTTAGTCGTATTTAAAATAACCCTTACATTTTAAAAAACGTAGCATATAAGCTCCTCCCGTTAAGTCTGAGTTAACAGACGTTAGAGTATGCTTACATGGCATGTTGACTCATAAAAAACTATTAGTATAATGACACGTGTAATTTAAGTTTAAAAAAGAGTTAAGACCTATTTAGCCTTTGTGGTTTTGGTCATGGACCACTTAAGCCCTTATTATTTACTCGTGTCTAAAATAATTCATGCATTTTAAAAAACGTAGTATATAAGCCCCTCCTGTCAAGTTTGAGTTAACAAACATTAGATTCTGTTTACGTGGTATACCGACTCACAATCGAATCAACAGTAGTATCTTGCTTGAAACTTTTCTAACATATTGCTCCTCCATTCAGGGTGAACACATACCCTGAATTAGACTTGCTATTATCGACATCGGAATAAAAGCTCGATCCGTGCAGTGATTTAAAAAGCGCTAGGTGCCAAAAGGCGCCAAGGTCCAAAAACGCCCGAGGCGCTAGGCGCTCGCCCGAGCGAAGCGAGGCGCTAAAATATAAAAATATATAATATAATTAATAAATATAATTATTTAAAATTTTAAATAAAAATATGCTATTTTAAATAAAAATTCTAGTCGCGAGCAGAGGGAAGGCTCGCGGGAGGGCTCGCAGGAGGCGCGAACAACTGGGAGGGCTTGCGGGAGGCGCGAGCAGGGAGTCGCGAGCAAAGGGAAGGCTCGCGGGAGGGCTCGTGGGAGGCGCAAGCAGCGGGAGGGCTCGCGGGAGGCGCGAGCAGCGGCAGCGGGAGCAGGAGCGACGAGCAGCGAGATCGGAAGCGGCAGCGACAGCGGGTTAGGGTTGGGTAAGGGTTATATCGGTTTAGTTGGTTCGATTGAACCAACTAACAACCGAACCAGGACCGAACCAAACCTAAAATCCTGGTTTGGTCACTTGGTTTACCTAGGCGCTCGCCCGAAGCGCCCAGCGCCTGGGCTCGGGCGAGCGCCCAGGCGACGCCTGTTTGAAGCGCGTCGCTTGGGACATTAGCGAGGCGCTCGGGCCTCGCCTCGCCTCGCCTGAGCGCCTAGGCGAGCGCCCAAGCGCCTCTTTCAATCACTGGATCCGTGTAACCCTCAATCATGAGGCTACTTCCTTCATATACCAGTAAAAGATCCTTAGTCCTTCTCAAGTACTTAAGGATATATTTTACTGCTTTCCAGTGCTTCAAGTCTGGATCCGCTTGATACCTGCTCGTGACACTCAGAGCATACACTATATCAGGCCTGGTTTATAGCACAGCATACTTGATAGACCCTGTCGCTGAGGTATAGGGTATCTTATCCATGTCTGCTTTTTCTTTAGGAGTCTTTGGGGACATACTCATAGAAAGCGATATCCCATGTCTCATCGGTATGAGACATCTCTTGAAATTTTTCATGCCAAATCTTTTGACAATGATATCTATATACCTAAACCGAGACAAGCCGAGCATCCTCTTGGATCTATCTCTGTAGATCCGAATCCCCAATATGTACGATGCTTCCCCTAAGACTTTCATGGAGAAATGTTTAGATAACGAAGCCTTTGTCGGTTCTGTCGGTATTTCAGCGCATCTCCATATGTCACGATCATCCGTCTCGGTCTCGTGGGTCCCGCTATCGCCTACACGCTCCTGCTGCGTCTTCTTATATAATTACAATTTAATTACATGCACACAAGCCCGATAATAAACGAGAAAAAAATAGAGGTTCGTAGGCCTCAATAATAATGATAATCACATCACATGTACACACATCACACGGTCTATGATCATCCGTCCACATCATATATCACATGTACACATTATCATGTAGGACTACTAGATGATGATGATTTTGATGATGATTTTGTAGCCTTTTGGGGTACCTTACCCTAGGGTACCCCATGCGGCCAGGGTTTGCCTTGGGCGGCCAGGGTTCCCTAGCTCCCAAGGTTACCTCTGCAGCCAGGGAACCCTGGCTGCAGGGTGAGCATGGGCGGCTAGGAAACCCTAGCCACCACCTTGGCCCATGCGGCCAGGAGTCCTGGCCGCCAAGGGAACTTGGGCGGCTAGGAAACCCTAGCCACCTGTGGTGCCCCTTGCAGCCAGGATACCTAGCTGCAGGGGCTGCCAACCTGCAGGCCAAGAGCTCTCTTGCAGCTCTCGGCCTCCCTGCTTTTTGACCAGGCCGAGAGCAGCAAGATGTGCTCTCGGCCAAGGCTGCAAGCAGCCTTCGGGAGGATTGTCACTTGCTCGAATACAAGTATCGAGAGCTAAGTGGTCCACCAATTTCGTAGGGATAATCACCCAAAAGTCCAACTCCACATGTAAGCGGTTGACGTTGGAGATGCAAGGATTTGTGAGTGTTGATTGAAACTTTTGTTGCTAATTGGAACCCATTGAAGTACATGGTAGGTTTCTTGATAAGCTCTGAGACCAATTGATGTAGAACATGATAGAGAAATAGAAGGAGAGCAAGAGAGGAGTGAGATTAGAGAGGAGAGAAAGAGAGGACTGAGGTTAAAGATTAGAGAGGAGAGGAAGAGAGGAGTGAGATTAGAGAGGAGAGGAGGCTAGAAGAGAGGAGATGCAAGTATTTTTCATTTAAATTTAAAGTATCTCATCCATTGAGAAGCTCCACTATTTGTAGGGTTTTATGAGCCTTAGTACAAATGTAGGCAAGGACTCCCAAGAGTAGCCTCCTTATATGCCTTCTAGAAAGCCAAAATGTGACTTCTAGGAGACTTAAACAGCTTTAAGGCAACTTATTACAACTAAGAAGAAAAAAAGTGCATTTAATACAAAAGTAGAGTTTCAATGTTAGCACCTAGAAAGACTAAAAGACTTCAATTTTTCACCCAACTCTTAGAGTTTCTAGGCTAACTAATTAATGACTTTTTGCTGATTTCTTTCCCTAGAATAAACTCTTCTAAAATCGTTTATAAAGCTAGATGGTTCTTCATCATGGACTTAATATGGTTTCCTTATATCATGGCAACAAGTCAGCAACCTAGTGGGACTGCTTATAATATACAATCCTCATTAACTGAAGTGATGCTGGTGGTCATTTATCTGTAATGGATGCCTTCATTATGCTCATTCTATATTTTTTATAATGAAGATCATGAATAAGTGTCAATTAGCAGTAGTGCTTCTGACAGTTTTTTATTATTTGTTTTCTAGTTATACTCTGAGTTGGTCTTATGGTAGTAAGACTGCCTATATCTTATTCTCCTTAAAGTTAAAACCCTACAATCCTCATTAACTGAAGTGATGCTGGTGGTCATTTATCTGTAATGGATGCCTTCATTATGCTCGTTCTATAATTTTTATAACGAAGATAATGAATAAGTGTCAATTAGCGGTAGTGCTTCTGACAGTTTTTTATTATTTGTATTTCTAGTTATACTCTGAGTTGGTCTTATGGTAGTAAGACTGCCTATATCTTATTCTCCTTGAAGTTAAAACCCTCAGTGGTAGGTGCATTATGTAGTTATTCCTCTTTAAAAGAAACCAACTGAAAGCATTAATAGTATTGGAATATTTTATCTGATAATGTCACTGATGGACTTGTTTTAATTGAACATAATACTAAAATAATCTTGTATAATGCGTCATGTTATGACTGTATTGGCAAGAGTGGCCTTTATGTCTCAAAAACTGATTTCTTGTTACTACATTCCAGTGCTTTTTCAGTCAGAGAAATGTAATATTGCAGTTGCATTTTTTCCTTTCTACCTACCTTGATTGGTTATAAGACTCCAGAAATACAGACATGCAATTTAACTTGTATTAGCATGCCTAAAGTACTGAATAGAAGTTTTTTTTTTTGCGGCAATAAGTTGTCTTATGCTTTGATTAAGTACAGGTGTTATGATCTACTTGTTTATCCTTTGTGTCATTTCTTGAACATATATGTTCTTCTGATAGTAAAGTAGATATTGGTAACTTTGACTTTCTTTGTAGTTTCTTTTCCTTATTTTTTTACATCTAATTCTGCGCTTTGGTACAATTTTGGTGCTGCATTTTTTTCCCTTAGATTCGGCCCTTATTTGAGGAACATGGGGATGTAGTTGAAGTGGCCTTCATCAAGGATAGAAAAACTGGTGAGCAGCAAGGTGAGCTTAGTTCCTTTTTTTTGCTATTTATTGTTATTTGTGTCTGTCTATTTTTAGACAAACAATAAATTCATCTCTACCCTTAGTTAGGTTTTGGAATAGTTGTCAATGCCTATTGTTTTAGTTGGAAAATTGCCCTGCTATTCTCTTTCTACATCCAGAAAAATGTAAAAGTTTCAAGACAACTACTAATTGGTTGTTTTAGTAGTCAAATAAGTTCTATTCTAGTATCATTCAGTGTGGCAGTGCTTTTCATGAGCAGGTGTTGAGCAAATCACTGGGGTATATAGGTTGGTTAGATTACGGTTTGATGCCATTTTCAGTAACAGCAAAGCACTTATGTATGTTTTGCAAAAGGTGATTACCAGCATAATAACAAGCCATATTTCTGTATCTCAATCATGAGATGAAGTTTTGTGCCTTAATTGCTTCTGAATTGCATCCTTTAAATCCATAATATTTATTGATCTGGTACGGCCTTCTTACACTTATTGATCAACATTGTAATCTGGTATAGTAATTGAGCTCTGCCAAAGGTGGATTGCTTGTGTGAATTATTAGGCCATTCTTCCTGTTGTTGCACTTGAATGTTTTGTGTTGCTAACAGCATTATGCTTGAGAACCATTGCTTTAAGCTCGACCAAGTAGGAGCTATCATAGGTGATGAAAGGTCAAAGCTTGCTTGAGTATATTTGTGTTCATGCACTGGCCAACTGTATTTTTGGTGCCACCATCTGAAAATTTTGCTCTTATTGAAGCTTTTAATCAATTTGAAACCGAATTCTGGCATACTCCTATGTTATGTATTTCCACTTTAATTTTTGTTCATAGGTATACTCCTATCATGCTTCTTTAAACATTATAGTTATTTTTTGTGGATTATATCAATTTGAATCTTGAGGGACGTCTTACTGAGAACCTAAGATCCTGATACCTTCTTTCCAAAATAAATATGTGCTATGAGCAACCATTAAGGGACCCTCATCCAACCTTTGGCCACAGGCCACCCAGTGCGGTCCCAAGGTGTTGAGATGGTTGATGTGTTGATTATGTTAATAGAACGTGTCTGCAGATTCACATGCATTCTAAAATATAGGAAATTAATTATTCAATTGGATCAATAAACATATACCTCGATTTGCAGGCTGTTGTTTTGTGAAGTACACAAATTCAGAAGAGGCAGACAGAGCCATCAGGGCTCTGCACAATCAGTATACTTTGCCTGGTGTGAGTGTATAGTAATTCCCTATGCTGAAGTTTCTTCCTTTTTCTTTGAACTTTTTTAAGTCATATTACTCAGCAAACTGAATATTTCCTTTATATCAGGGTTTGGGTCCTATTCAAGTAAGATATGCAGATGGGGAAAGGGAACACCATGGTATTATTTTCTACACTTAAGCAATTTTAAGACTGTAACATACTGATGGTAGATCATGTTTGGACTGACTCTTTTTAGCAATTACATCTTGCTTCGTCTCTAAATTTAGGTTTTTCACATATGAAATAATTTTTCATTAGGTTGAACATTTTAATGTCAATTCTTTGGAAGTAGGAACTTAAATCCTGCATAAATTCAATAAATTCTTTTTTTAATTTATATTTGAACCTGATGTCAACCTGTATTTCAGGTGCAGTTGAAGACAAACTATTTGTTGCATCACTGAATAAGCAAGCCACTGCAAAGGAGATTGAAGAAGTGGGTTTTTCTATTATCTATTAAGAAATATTTTGAACCGTTTTTCGTAATATCATTTGGATCTGATAATGCCAATAGTAATTTTTTAGTCGAACTTTCAAACATATTATGAAACAATGTACTACCGAAGGTAAATAAAGAGTCTTTGAACAGTGATATGTGATTGAAAGACAACATTTCAATCATTATTTTTTTATTCTTGAGTTATTTTAGTAATTCATTACTTAGAACCTTGTTGAGTGTGAAAAGTCTATGACAGATATTTTCTCCATACGGGCTTGTTGAGGATGTCTATATTATGAGAGATTCATCTAGACAAAGTCGAGGTATGTCTTGTACTTTGTGCAAAATTTTCACTCATAATTTCATTTTGCTTTCTTCTTTAATATATTAAGATATGTATATTTGATACAATATGCGAAGGATGTGGCTTTGTAAAGTTTGCAAGCAGAGAGATGGCATTGGCAGCTCTAAAAGCTCTTAATGGAGTTTACATTATGAGGGTAAATAATCTTTATTGGGTTTCTTATACTGCATTTCTTAACTTTTATATGATATACTTCTCCTTCTGCTGTCAGGGATGTGATCAGCCATTAGTTGTTCGATTTGCTGATCCAAAGAGGCCAAGGCCTTCAGAACCAAGGTCTAAATAAGTTTCAGAAACATATATAGTTTTACATTTTATAATAATTTGGTTAATGATAATTTGATGGTTGGCCCCTTTAAGAGAGTAGAATCTGAAAATTTTACCTCCTAACAGATACTTCTTCAATGATTTGCACTGCAGGGGTGGTCCAGCATTTGGTGGTCCTGGAGTCAGTCCTCGATCTGAGGCAGCATTAGTGATCAGGTATATTGAAAACCAATTCTGAAGTGGAAGTATTAGATGAGAGTGTTGAAACTTGAAAGAGTAATGACACTATCTCCAGGAGTTTATTATTTATATAACTTTGAAGAGTTTTCTCCAGAAGTGATAGAAATATGTAATATGAAGATATTATTACAAAGGCATATTTGGTTTTATATATTGAGTTTTGAAGGTTGATATCTAGACTCATTTTTGTTCCTATAGCACTTTAAAATACCAGGATTAGATTGTTCACTTCCCAAATTGATATAACGGATGATTGTACTATACTTTCTTATCTTATTTAGGTCTGCTTAATAAACCATATATATCACTGCCTTCTTTTTTCTTTCCCTGCTTTTTTCTTCAAACATGATTTGTATGAAGCTTGGGAAGAACTTGAACCTTTGGTGCAGGCTGTGCAGGTTATATAACACAAATCATAACCTTGCACTGTACAGGGCCTACAGACTTCACTTCATTTAGAATCAATTTTCCCTCAAGGCTTGTGTTAGAAACTTTTCTAAATGCAGCTCAATATTTCTATGTGTTTGCTGTTGCATATTGGTATATTTAATTATAATAAGAAAATTATACTATGTTATAGTTTTCTATTGAGTTAATATCAAGGTTTCAAGTTTGGCAATTTTACTAATTGCTTGATGTTTGATGTGGAAAATTCTGAGAGCTATCTTCCTAACCAATTAATAGAACCTATTCGTTTTTTCAATTCATTCTTGGTTTTAGATTCTTCCAATGTCTTAAATTGAAGGTTGAGACAAATACTTTGAAATTTAACTGCTTGTTATTTGTACCGTGCCTATTGAAGTTAAATGACTTTTTGTCTTTTGGTTGTAGACCAACAGCTAATCTTGAAGAGCCAAGGAATGGTCAGATGCCTCCTGATGCCTGGCATTCAATGAATACACAGTCACTTGGACCACCTCCTCAGGTTTGTACTAAAGTAATTGGCAGCAAACCACAAAAGGTGGTACTATCACCGTGCTTGACATACAAGATGGTCCTTGTTTCCTAATCCTTGTGGCTTTTGTGGTTGTTTAGCTTTGCGTCTTGGGACCCACTGGTGGGCCTAGCAATGGATCTACTTTGAGTCTTTCAGCACCACTTTTGACAGAACAGGTACCGGGACATGGTTGTCCTTGATTTGTCACTAAGCTTGTTTGATAAATGTTGTTATATTACTGAAAGTAGTCAGAAGTGTTGCAAATTCCTTTGATACAGAGCTTCAACCCTGCAATGGTTTCAATCAATCCTGCTGCTGGTCAAGAAATATCACTGCTGCAGAAGCCACTCATGCCCTCCCAAAGCCTACCAACTTCTCTAAAACTGAATCAGAGCCAACAAACTCCGGCTTCCAACACACGGACATTAAATTTACAGGCACCAATGCAGCAGCTGGGCCAACTTCAGTCTGCTGGCTTAACCTCCTTTAACCAAACTTTACCATCACAACAGTTACCTGGTATTGGTGGCCAGCCATCCACATCACAGTCGTTAATCCAGCAGAATGCCTCTTCTGTTGCTCTGCAGGCCCCCTTAAGTGTACAACAGCAGGCTATGCCTGCTATTGCTCAACAGCAGTTTCCTGCACCAAATGCTGCACAGCAACTGCTTCAGCAGTCTGTTCAACAGTTTCCGTCACAACTACCACAGATGCTGCTGCAGCAGCAAGCACAAACTTTGCAATCAAGCTTTCAATCATCACAGCAAGCAATTATCCAGCTGCAACAGCAGCTTCAACTAATGCAGCAACAGCAACTTTCTCATGCTGCTAAAGCACAAGTAAGAAAAACCAGATTGGTTACTGTCATTGAATTTTATTTTTTTACAGGTTGTATTTTTTTATGCTCAACTTATGGATGTTTCTAATGTGAATTTTAAGAAAATATTTAACTTGTTTTTACATATCATGGCCTTGTTCATGCATATCCTAGAATCTGGTTCTCATGCTGCTAAAGCACAAGTAAGAAAAACCAGATTGGTTACTGTCATTGAATTTTATTTTTTTACAGGTTGTATTTTTTTTATGCTCAACTTATGGATGTTTCTAATGTGAATTTTAAGAAAATATTTAACTTGTTTTTACATATCATGGCCTTGTTCATGCATATCCTAGAATCTGGTTCTTAACTTAGTTATTCTGGTACTGCAATATTGTTTAACTGTTTTCCTTTTCCAATATGGATTGCATTCTGCAGTCTGCATGGAGCGGATCACCACCAACATCCAGCATTGCATCTAGCACGCAGTCTGCAAAGCCCTCTTCTGCTGTTAATGCTTCACCTGCAGTTCCTTTGACTTGCAATTGGACAGAGCACACCTCTCCTGAAGGATTTAAATACTACTATAATAGCATAACACGTGAGAGTAGGGTGAGTATGTTTTATTTTCTTTTGCTTGTTATCTATGCATTATGTCACTATGAACTTGGTAAATAATTATTGATTTACTATTTAGTGGGAGAAACCTCAAGAGTTCGCATTATTTGAGCTACAGCAGCAGCAGCAACAGAAATTGCTATTGTTGCAGCAGCAACAGAAACCTGCTCTCCCGCAACTTCCATCACAGTCTGATACCCAATCACACACACAGGTTCAGCCTGCCCAGCAAGTTTCTCAAACACAGCAGGTTCAATCTCAAATGAGGAACCAACAAACACAGTTGCAGCTTCAACCTTTGAGTATGGTCAGTAGCATCAGCATGATTCTAGAAATATTTTATTTCCAAGCTTTTGATTGTGTTTACTTAAGTAGTTATTTTGTGGCAATGTTGTTAATTGGTAAATTTAAAAGATGAGAAACTGGAGAAACTTTTTCTGAGTCTAAAAGAGCCACATAATTCTGTTAGTTCTGTTTGGCAATTGCTCAATAAACTCAGTGGTTTTTATTGGTGGATGATAGGAGTTACCTTAGTAATTTGTTTCTGACTTTTTCCATCATCATCTGCTATGTTGGTGTCCTGTTTTGTTGTAGATTTCTTATCTAACCTCATATTCTTCCAATTTCTCAGGACTTTAACTATGCTCAACCACAAGCAACTGGTTCTGTTGATCATTCCAGAGTCCAACAGGTACCAACTTGAGTCCTTGCCATTAATCCTTGTTTCTACTTGCTATTCACCATCTCTATCATTTCATGCAGAGCATCCGAGTTGCGCAGGAGTGGGCTTTGAAAAACAAATCTGCAGGTATTGATTTTTCACTGGCAGTGAAATTTTTTTTCAAAAAGAATAAATATGAATTGCATAAAAAAAGGCACTGGAGAACTTTTTCCTTATGTGGAATATAAGAAGGAAGAAATGTTGGAAAAATTTCTCATGTTTTCTGGAGAAAATGGAAAATGAAAAGATAATTATACGGAAATCTGAAGAACTTTTTTCTAGGATTTTTTATTTTCCTAATTAACAAATGTTAGAAAATGTGCTTGTAGGGAAAACAACTTACCATGTAGTTTTATATGCAACTAAACTTACCCTTGTATTTTTTTTGTTCCATCATCAGGTTGAAACTGAAAGATTCTTCTCTCTCTGTTTTTTCCCATAAATTTCTCGAGTTTTGTGCAAGTTTAACCTTTCTGATATGTCAACTGACCTACGTCCTTCAAAAACTTCTATTTTCCATGTGCATTATCACCCTTGCTCTTTTATATCCATCCTTGTGAGCTGGTGTGCTTGTGAGAGCTGAAGGACATATAGTTGACTATTATGTGCTCATGAACTTGATATATAAATGCATTATCTGATAAAACATGTTCCTATATCCCCTGACAAACTAATTATGCATGGATCGACCGATCAGCATGTTTCTGATGCTGTTGGAGTCTCAATCCGATATCCAATTAACTAGTCTGTTAATTCCTAATATCTTTCTGCACCATGTTTTGGCTATTCAGTGGTTCAATTAACTAGTCTGTTAATTCCTAATATCTTTCTGCACCATGTTTCGGCTATTCAGTAGTTCTTTTGAGTCACTACATTCTACATTGTGATGCAATCTCTCAACTGCACTTGTTCTTGTTCCTTCATCAGACTTTTTTCCCTGTTTATGTTTTCAACTGGTCTCTTATGTGGACTTGTGAAACATCAATTGATGTTTTTTCCTCTTGACACTTTTTTCCCTGTTTATGTTCCTATATCCCCTGACTTCTTTCCCTGCAGTACCAAGAGATCTCATGTAGCCCATTTTGAAACATCAATTGATGAAGCTTTCTCTTGGGATAAAGGTCTCTTGGTACTGCTTTGTTTTGTTCATTATTGCCGTGGTCATATCATTCATTTAGGTAGCGGTTTTGTGATTTTGGGCTATTTGAAAGATCTAATACTGCACTGAGAATGCATGACAGCAACATTGTCTTGCATCACAACTTTATAGCTTCAGAATAAGATTTGACAGCAACTCTGTCCATTGCTGTTCTCTGTTTAGGTTCTTGATGGTGCCGTCATCTGGGAGCTGCATGAAAGGACTTCTTCAGGCAGGCCCAGTGGATGTTTTGACGCAGTGCCAGAAACTCGACTTCCTGGTTTTGTTGTCACCGAGCGAAGGTTTTGAGAAATGCATCAGGATGTGTAAACTGTCAAAGCATTAGTATAAATATAAGTTTCATTTATTTATCAACCCTAAGTTGAAACGTGGACTTGAGATGTGAATTCGAGTAGGAAAGTGGTCCTTGTGGTGATATATATATATATATATATATATATATATATATATGGGTTATAAATAATAAAAAAGGAATTAGAAATAGTAATATCAATCTTTCAGATAGTGAAGCATTTTTACTATCTATCTAAATGGGATGTTGAAGCTGCTAATTCCATCTCACCCACCATTTAAATAATACACATACAAATAGCTTCCCACCTTGATCATCAATTTTTTTAATATATAATTTTTTTAATCATAAAATGAAAAATATTAAATTATATATTATACAAATTAAAGTGTTCTAAATCAAAATTTTGTGCCAATAAAGACTCTCTCAATGACCAACCTTTATTTTGTCGCAATAGCATATTAGTAATTGGAAGATAAAAGAAATTATAAGAAAATAAAAAAAAACATAAGATAAGAAAGAATGGAAAAAGGAACTCATACTCGTCCTACCTTGTCGATTTCCAGACGAGTTCCTGTGGGCCTTAGAGGCGGGCCCCATGTGGGTGGTTTGTTACTCGGAAGACGACGCAACTCACCAATTCGCGTCGCCGCCTATTTGGGCCCCTCCGCCTCCGATTTGGTGCTGCAAATTTATTCATTAATTTCGATTTTTCGTGGGTTTCTCTGTTTGCTTTGGTCTCCCGGCGTCATCCCGTAGATGGAGTCCAAGTGGAAGGAACGGTTCGGATTTCTGCGATGGCGAGGGGATATCGACAACTCGGATCTTGACGCGTAGGTACTGTTGTCGGATGAGCGAAAGGTCGAGAGCGCTCGAGCCCTGGGACGTTGGATTCTGCCATATTTGGAGGGCATTTTGATACCCTTTCCTTCGAGGAAGAGGAAGATACGAACCTCCTCCGGGCTGAAGGGTTCCGACTTTTCTTGAGCTCCGGAGGCGGGAGACGAGATTTCTTATTGGGTAAGCTTGATTGGGTGAACCAAGGAACAGCCGTGGTTCAGATAAGTTTCTCGCTCTCTTCTCCGAATGATTTGCTGTCCCTTTCGTTGATTCTCGTGGGAAAGATTGGATCTTTGGATGCAAGATTTGAGTTGAGAGGATCTTTCTGATGGTTCTGGTGGGTTAGACAGAGAGATTTGACTTTTATCCTGGGGCTATAGGTCTTTTACCTCGTTCTTTGGGTGATTGATGAAAACCGTTCGTTTCAATAGGATCCCATTCGCTGCCTTGGCGCGTCGTCGAACATTTTAATCTGTATTTTTTTTTTCCCTATTGGTGATATACGTTTTCTTATAACAATAGCAATCAAAAGAAAATAACTGATTGGAAAAAGATTTAGGAATTGGTTATTCTTGTGAAATAGAAATGGGTAAGCCACCTGCTAAGAAGAAGAGTTCGGGCGGTAAACTGAATGATGCAACCTTGAAGCACTGCAAATCCTGTGATTATAGCTCGAAGGTCTTCGATGAGGACACCACAATCTTCATGGACATGGCTCGTGATATGAAAGAGGAGGGCAACAAGTTGTTCCAAAAGCGGGAGTACGACAGAGCGCTATTGAAATATGAGAAAGCCATCAAACTGCTTCCAAAGAACCACATTGATGTTGCGTACCTCCACAGCAACATGGCGGCTTGTTATATGCAGATGAGCCCTGAGGAGTACCACCAAGCAATCAGCGAATGTAATCTCGCCCTCGAGGTCTCACCCAAGTACAGCAAAGCTCTCCTGAAGAGGGCCAAGTGTTTTGAAGCATTGAACAGGTTGGAATTGGCCTGTAAAGACATTGATCTAGTTTTGAGTTTGGAGCCAAACAATCTCACGGCAACGGAGATTTCTAAACGAGTGAAGGAGGAGATGGAGAGAAAGGGCATCACATTGGATGATAAGACACTTTTTCCGCTCCCAGAACCTCTGACGGTGAAAGAGAAGCCAAAAAAGAAGAAGTGCCATAAATCAGAGGAGAAAGTAGTAGTTGTGGAGGAGAAACATGCTAAAGTTAAAGAAGAACCTATGAAGAGCATCAAGTTAGTTTTCGGGGAAGACATAAGATGTGCTCAGATACCAGCTAATTGTACAATGTTGCAGTTGAGAGAGATTGTCGTTAACAAATTTCCGAGCTTGAAGGCTGTCCTTATCAAATATAAGGATAAAGAGGGTGACTTGGTGACAATAACTACGTCTGACGAGTTGAGGTGGGCGGAAGAATCTTCGGAACCACAGGGGTCGGTCAGACTTCATATAATAGAAGTTGATCCTGAGCATGATCCTTTACTTGTAGAGGCAAAGAAAGAATCTTCGAGGAAGCTGGACAGAAGCATCTCTAGAAATCGGAGCATCAAATGTGATGACATCAAGGTTTCTTCAGTCTGTGTTGATGACTGGATTGTGCAATTCGCTCAGCTATTCAAGAACCATGTTGGTTTCAATTCTGATGCGTATCTGAATCTTCATGAGTTAGGAATGAAACTATATTCAGGGGCAATGGAAGAGACTGTCACGAGCGAAGAGGCGCAAGAAATTTTTGAACTTGCTGAGGAGAAATTTCAGGAAATGGCAGCTCTGGCCTTGTTTAACTGGGGAAATGTTCATATGTCTCGAGCAAGGAAGAGGTTGTTCTTGTCAGAAAATGCTTCAAAGGAATCAATGCTGGCACAAGTCAAAGCTTCATATGACTGGGCTCAGGGCGAGTACATCAAAGCAGGACAGCGTTATGATGAAGCTTTGAAAATTAAGCCTGACTTCTGTGAAGCTCTTCTTGCACTTGGACTGCAACATTTTGAGCAAGCAAAGCTTTCATGGTGTTATGCAATTGGAAGCAAGGCAGATCTGGAGAAGTGGCCTTCATCAGAAGTCCTAGAGCTATTCAACCATGCTGAGGATAACATTGAAAAGGGAACAGAGATGTGGGAGGAGATAGAAGAGCAGCGATTGAAGGAACTTAATAAAGCCAATGAGGAAAGAATCTTATTGCAAAAGATGGGCTTGGAAGACTACTTCATAGAGCTTTCGAATAATGAAGCTGCAGAACAGGCTTACAACATGAGAGCTCAGATAAATTTACTATGGGGAACCATGCTTTATGAGCGGTCTGTTGTGGAATTCAAATTAGGCATTCCAATGTGGGAAGAGTGCCTGATGGCAGCAGTGGAAAAATTTAATCTGGCAGGAGCTTCTCCAACTGACGTTGCTGTTATGATAAAAAGCCATTGTGCCAATGAAACTGCCCAAGAAGGTAAAAATATTTGATATTGTGGCTGTGTCCGAGACCACAGTGACTTCATCTGGTTGGTTATGGCTAGGATTTCTTTGCACTTAATATTGTGGTACTACTGATTTTCAATATGTTATTTTTTTTTCAATTCTTTTATATTCTGTACTTCAGACATTGATAGTACTCCTTGTGTGAATTAATTCAACCTTATGTAATGTCTCCTGCTTAATACTGTTGGGTATCAAAAGATCTTATCCACTGCTGAATGTTATTAGAAACCTTGATTAAGCACAGGCAAATGTTTGATTGTGCTATGATGTGACATAATATTCTTTGTATGACTGCTGATTGAGCATATTTCCATAAGATTGCTGGGTTTATGTGATTTTAGGCAATAATATCCGTCTAAATGTTATGTGATACCCAAGTATGTGAAGGCCTTAATAACAACTTCATAAGCGATCCAATAATTTCATGGCATCCATCTTATCTGTTAATATTTTTATATATGTACCTCAATAGTATAGTATATTCCATTATACTTTGAGCATCTTTCTAGACTCCGGTAGGTGTATAAACAATTCTGTGATCAACTTTTAATTGCAGGATTTGGTTTCAAGATCGATGAGATTGTTCAGGCATGGGATGAGATGCATGATGCAAGAAGGTGGATAAATGGTGTTTCATCTTTCAGACTTGAGCCTTTATTACGTCGACGAGCTCCGAAGCTGCACCATATGTTGGAGCATGCATGATTTATAAATGACTTCCTGCATCAATTCAGATTCAATGGCCATTGTTGAGAACAGTATAACTTGTATTCCTGCCTATTTTCTGCTTTGCACATAGGTAGCCTCCCACTCTAATTCAGTTAATTTTTCATCTCTAAAATTACATTCTTTGCTAAGGTGTTGTTAGCATAAGTTAGCTATACACCTTATACACATTCTTTTACATACTTATTATAGGACATGTTCTTCGTATATTGTTCATTTTATCTGCTTCACTAGATTTTGCATTTTATTGTTGAATTTCTTATAAACTATCTTAACGTTGTTGTCTCTGGGGTTGCTACATTTTGGTTCCTGTCTAGCTTGCAATATCGGCCGCTAGTTTATAGAATTTCCTCTTATTGTTAGTGCTATTTTTCTTTTACATTTATTCATATCCAGATGTCCAAAACGTATACTCTGTGCAGTTCATGTGCAAAGGTAGACAATATATATATATATATATATATATATATATATATATTCAACACATATACCTACATTGATGTAACAACTGAGCTCATATAGAATCAGATCCGAGGAATTTAAGGAACATGCATTACTAGGATCTTGTTTTTTTAAATCTTTGCTTTCATATAAATGCCTTTTTTTGTGTGGTTGCTTTGTTCGTGCTCACATCCAATTTGCCTATTGGAAAATTGGAAAAATTGGAAAATCTTACCACAATAGGTAGTGTGGAAAAAAAAATTCTACATGCTTATATAATAAAGATGAATTTTAAAACAAATGGTCTGTATTGTTGCATCACGCTATAATATGCATTGATATGCTTGCAGACTGATGAATGGGACATCGGTACACGCCAGCCTTGCCAGTAATCTACCACTATGATATCTGCATATGTATTTGATTACTGGTGCTTCAGCACCGACTTGGGTTGCCTAGTCTCTCTATTTATGTTTCTATCTTTATTTCTAGAAACCATGATATTGTATTCATAGCTTTGCATGGTCACCAACTTGGGTTGCCTATTGTCTCTATTTATGTATCGATCTTTATTTCTAGAAACCATGATATTGTATCCATAACTTTGCATGAACAACGAATGTTTATGTCGCTCTAAGAGTGCCTCTCCCCTCTAACAAACTTGGTTGCTGCCCTTTCAGGTTATCTTGCTTGATGCACTGTAATATTCGATTGTTTGCTTCTTGCAGAGAAGAGTTTGTTTTCTACAATCATATAGCATAATTCTTTTTCCTTCCATGTGCTGGGCTCTCGGGAGCCTAGTCATGCATACGACAATTTGATAAATGGTGGTCGTGCAGTCTGACATTTCCGTCATCATCGTGCCCTCTTCGTATTGGTGGCAGAAGTTTTTTGTTATTTTTTTGAGAGAGAAAACATAATATACGGCAGTGCTCATTGTTTCTCATATACAAGATGATTTGTTTTGTTTGTTTCCATAATGCTTTTGGGTATGTATTAAACAGACAAGTTATATTATTATCAGAAGTTTGAAACAGATCAAATTACTCTTGTAATTATTGTCTTTTTATTTCCTCTCTTGCTGGGTATCATGGATTTCAAGGCTTCTTTTAATAGTGTCATTGTTCTTGTTCTTGCTGATGCTGCAAGTGCTGTAATAATCTTACTACATGAAGTGCTTTTGGAAGGAAGGTTATGAACTTTTCCCATCTGTCGGTGATTCTTCTTAGGTGAATTAACTTAAAGCAGATTTAGAAATGACAAGAAAAAAATGTGTTCAGATATTTTTTCTTCTTCTTTTGAATCATCAAAACTTGATTAATTCAAAATTGAAATTACAAAGAGGTGTAGGTATCACTCTCTGTCACCAAAACCCAAACACAACAAAAAAAAATCCCAAATCCAAAATCCCTAATATATCTTGTCATCTAATTGGTCGTTATGTTATATACATGAACAAAGTCAGCAATATAAAGTAGTTTCGTTAGTTCAAAACTACCCTTAATTCTTCCATACAGAAGAAGTTAATGCACCTGAATGATGTGAAAGATCACAAAAATTTCAGGTTCAAGTTGTTTGGATCAAAGACTTTGTGCACTTACTATCAGCACTGATTTGCTCATCCTATGTAGGTAGTGGAACAACATGTTATTTTTTGGGGATATGCATCACATTTGTAATTTACCTTGCTGTATATTCTACCTGTCTTATCATAAATTTGATATTTTTCCTTGCCTCTAAATCATTTAGCCATTTGCTTCTAAGGGATGATTGAAGCCTTTTTTTTAGGAAAAAAAAATATAAAGCAGATGTAAATTCTTTATCTAATTATACACTCCTTTCCCCCCAAAACTGTCATTATTAACCGAATTATTCAAAATCAGGCCGGTTCGACCCGGTTCATTTACCGGTTCAGCCTTTCCCAGGGTTTGTCAGCGTTGACCGGGTCATCGACCCTTTCTGTCTCTTTCTTCTCCCTCATTGGATCTGCAAGCACTTTACCCCAATCCACGACGACATCTCCGTCGCCAGATTACAAGGCAAAGAACGGCTCCGATCTTTTCGGTATTCGGCTCGTCTCTCTCCCTCCTTCGCATCCTCTCCCCGATCCCAACCCTCATCATCTTCTTCTTGTATATCACAATCTCAAATTCCTCCCCAAGGATGAACAGCACCTACACTGCCCTCCCTGTATCTTCCTCCATCGAGCTCCAAGCCAAATCCCCAACCCTACCTCAAGACCCTCCCAAGAAGCAGGAAGAATTCGGCGTTGAGCTACCCCTCATCCTCGACGCCGCCGGTGCCGGGTACGGACCTGCCGCCGCGGGATCCGGCGTGCCCGGCGCCGTCTTCAACCTCGCCACCTCGATCATCGGCGCCGGGATCATGGCCCTTCCCGCCACCCTGAAGGTCCTCGGCCTCCTCGTTGGTTTCGTCTCCATCGTCCTCATGGGAATCCTGTCCGAGATCAGCATCGAGCTCCTCGTCCGGTTCTCCGTCCTCTGCAAGTCGTCCTCCTACGGGGACGTCGTCCAGACCGCCCTCGGCCGCCCCTTCAAGATCGTCTCCGAGATCTGCGTCATCATCAACAACGCCGGTGTCCTCGTCGTCTACTTGATAATCATCGGGGATGTGATGTCAGGATCCTCGAAGCACGTCGGCGTCTTCGATCAATTGCTCGGGAGTGGCGGCGAGTGGGATCACAGGAAATTGGTGATCCTTGTGGTATTGGTCATCTTCTTGGCCCCTCTTTGTTCTCTGGAAAAGATCGATTCGCTTAGCCTCACTTCAGCTGCCTCCGTGGCTCTTGCCGTTGTCTTCGTGATCGTGTCGTCCATCATTGCGTTGGTTAAGCTCGTTGAAGGCAGGATAGGGACGCCAAGATTGGGGCCTGATTTTGGATCGAAAGCTGCCTTCTTGGATCTGCTGGTGGTCGTTCCGATAATGACTAATGCCTATGTTTGCCATTTCAATGTTCAGCCCATCTACAATGAGCTCGAGGGGAGAACGCCAAAGAAGATGTACCTTGTCAGTAGGATCACCACAGTGTTGTGTGTGGCCATCTATGCCTCAACTGCTATATCAGGATACCTGTTGTTTGGGGATGACACCGAGTCGGATGTGCTGACAAATTTTGATAAGGATCTTGGAATTCGGTTCAGTTTGATCCTGAATTATGTGGTGAGGATTGGATATATTCTTCATCTGATTCTTGTTTTCCCTGTCATTCATTTTTCGCTCAGGCAGACGGTAGATTCGCTAGTGTTTGCAGAATCAGCTCCTGGAAGTAGGAAAAGGATGTTGACTTTGACGGCTGTGCTACTTGCTATTATTTATCTTGGTTCTACTATGATACCAAACATCTGGGTGGCTTTCAAGTTTACTGGTGCTACAACTGGCTTGTCGCTGGGGTTTATATTTCCAGCTCTTATTGCATTGAGATTGGATAAGAAAGAAAAGGTTTTAAATCTTAGAGAGAGGTACATGTCATGGCTGATGTTAGTATTGGCAGTGGTTGCTAGTATTTTGGGAGTTGTTGGGAATATCTTTACTCTTAAAAATAGGTCTGAGTGATTTATATTGCGTTAGTTCCCAATTAGGTATGTGAAGTTGAAGTTATGCAAATTTTTTTGGTCATGCCATGATGATGACCGATTTATATGGTTGATGAAGATTGAGACAAGAAAATTGACCTTTGCGGCAGAAAATCTTGGTTGTTCTGGGCCTTCTGCCACATACTGGCTTGCCAAGCAGGAACATAATGAGTTCTAGTTTTGTTTATAGCATACTTCGGTTGAGATATGTAGTGCCAGATTAATGCCTTGAGAGCTTTTAGAAGTACTTACTCAGATCTGAGACATCCTTGCTACTCCTGTTCTCAGTTTTGACCATTCTATGAAAATTGTTGAACGTTGGAATTGATAGACAGAGGTATGCTTTCGAGATGCAAATTGGTGTATCTACTGACACAGTGACCATACTTTTACATTGTTCGAGCATTAAATTCTTGTATTACCTCGATCCTCACTGTAAGTCCACACTTCTGTAACTTTATTTGCATTCAGGAATAAATATGCGATTGAATTCCTTTCTTTATCCCAGCTGTGTTAATTTCTCAGTATCCGCTTGTCATAGTGTTTACTAGAGTTTACTCCATACCTTGTTGTTACTGCTCTGCAAGATCATGCTTAAATTTTAACTTTTAACTCTTTGTGAACACGAATGTTTAGTTTAGCCATCATATTTCTTTATGCATATCGCTTGTAGTTTGTCTTTAGTTACTGAAAAACTGTTGCAGGAAAGATCACAAATGGAACTTGACTAGGATTTATGTGGGGCATTTAGTCGGGTTGATAACTTATTTGATAGAAGTAACTAAATTGGATGGTAATATAATTTTATGTTGTTTTGGTATATGTTTATATCAAATTCAAGCGTTATGGTATATGATAGAGACGAAGCTACAAGGAGGGATAATCCATAGGTGATATTACTATAATCTCATTGCCTTTTGTATCCTCATTACAATCTCTTATTTTCCTAGTTGCTTATATGTAATATTCAACTAAACAAAAGGCATTCTAGGTCAAATGATATGGTATGCACTGTTCTAATATCCCCATCTGTGCAACAAACATGACATCTTAATTTAGAACTGTATCCACATATCTTCAAGCCTTTAGGATTTGGCATTATGTCTGTCATCCAACCATTCTAAATTGTTTCTCGCTGCTTGATTTCTTTGCTTACCAACCAGCGATGGCATCTTGAAAGCAGTGACAAAGCTCATAGTTCGAGGATTTGTCCATGATTGATCTTTTGGTGCTTTTTTGCATTTGGCAATATAAATAATAGATAACATTCAAAGATGATAACTAGGTACCTTTTCGATAGAAGATACTATAAAAAAAAATCATTTATGATGATATGAACATGTGCTTAAGAGATATCTTTGAGATAAAAAAAAAATTTATAAGATAATTGTGAGACCAACAATATTTTATGGATATGAGTATTAGGTAATTAAAAAATAATATGTATAAAAAATCTGGATTATCGAGATAAGAATGTTGAGATAGATATATGGAGTTACTAAGAAAGATAAAAAAAAATATTTTTATTTGTGAATAATTAGGTATCTCTTCGATAGAAGATACTATGAAAAAAAAATTATGAAAGAAAATCATTTAAGATGATATGAATCCAGATCTAAAAAGATTTTAATAGAAATTATAAATAAAAATTTAAGTATTATAAATTTAATTAAATATATAATGATAATAAAAAAATTTATGTAGTCCATGCTGAATAGTTAGAACTTTGTAATGATAATCAAATTAAGGTACCAGTTAGTCAAAATCACAATCGAATTCATCGAATCAGAAACATTATCACGTGATGCATGTGAACTTTGTCAGGTATTGTATTGTATTGTATTGTATTGTATTGTATTGTATTGTATTGTATTGCCAAACCATGTTCAATAAGGCCATGTCTGGTCCAAGTTGTAAGAATGTTCTGTAGCAATTTGTCTGTGAGTGCTGGTTGTTCCTTACAAACTTAGCTTTGATAGTACTATTATTCTTGTGTCTTGATTCTCCTAGTTCTGCATTATTTACATTTGTCTAGGCTGCCCTTTTTACTTCATTGAACAAGATGAATGTTTGACATTGTAAAAGTATAATGGATTTTATATTAATCTTTCTTAAATTAATTAATTAATTAATCCCATTTAATTTACTATCACTGGATGGTTAAAACAGAGATATTCAAATTCTAATATTTTTATTTGAAGTTAAGTTGATTGATAATAATGGTTAGCGATTATCGATTTGAGTTAATATGCCGAGAATCTAGGAACATGTTCTGTATTATTCCCAAACTTTGCGGGATGTACGTACCTAAAAATCTTTAAAGAAATAAATGAGTGAAAATTTATTCAACAAAAAATCATAATATTTTGATTATTTGGTATCGATTATATGAATCTTTTATCTTTTATTAAATTAAAATTTTCTAGATTTTATTTATATTTTTAGGTATTTCGATCTCTCGTACATATATCTTCATTGATTATTCCTCATTTTATTTTCTTTCGTATGGTTAAAATTTTATTATTTTATTTATAATCGTATATAGATAAATTTAAATACTAATTATAATATTTTAAGCTCATTTATTTACTATGAAATTGAATAGAAAGAAAAGAAAGCATTTAAAAAGTAAAAGAAAAAGGATGATTTTCCTGTAAAATACATATATTTTGGATGTTTTTCAATCGATATCCTTTTTTATTTTTTTTTTCAAAAATATCTCTAATTAAAAAATATCTAAAATATCTCTAAAAAAAATTTCGTTAATTTTTTTTTATCTGTGATGTATCAAATGGTCTCAAGTTTTTTTTTAATTTATCTGATTTATTTATATTCTTTTAAGTAAGCTTTATAATATTTGTGTTATAGTGATCAAAACATTATAACAGATATTTTTTCCGTGATAGTTGAAAGAAAATTGCCTAAAAAATGATTTAAAACAGCGAAAGAACGGACAAAACAAAACAAGGGGCGGTCGTGCCAATCTTATCCGCTTTCCGGCCTTCAAAGCGTCAGCTCATCTCACGGGAGTTACTGTATTACGATCCTTGAAATACCCAAAATACCCTGAATGGATTCCGTAACGCCGTCTCTTCAGACCCCTGCTTTCCTTCCGATCCGTTATCCCATGTTGTCCTTATCCGTCTTTTCGCCCCCACTATATACGAGCAGACATCCCCCTCACCTCACTCACTTCACTCTCACTCCTCCCCCCCGCCCCTTCCTCTCTCTCTCTCTCTCTGCGCTTGCTCGATTGCTTCTTCTTCGATGGGATTCGACGCGGATTCCTCGCCGCCATCCTCCCCGTCCTCGCTGAAGCAGCGCCTCCGGTCCTCGATCTGCTTCTCCTGCTGCTTCCGCGGCGCCGCCGCCCGCGAAGAGCGGCCGGCGTCGCTGATCCGGTCCTCCACGGTCTGGCTCCGATCCAAGGCGCAGGACGTGCCGGAGATCGGCGGCAGGTGTCGCGGCCTGGTGGCGAGGATCGGGAGGCACCGCGGCCGCCCCCACACCGGCGACTTCCACTACGACGCACTCAGCTACTCCCTCAACTTTGACGAGGGACCCACCGACGACGACGGCGACGACCCCGCCGCGGCCGATCAGCCTCCGAGGTACCGCGGCTTCTCGTCCCGCCTTCCGCCCTCCCCGCCTCCCCCGCCGCTGCGGCCGGCCGTCGGGATCGCGTGCTAAGTCCCGTCTCGATCGATCCATATCCTTTTCTTGTACATACACGTGTGACGTTCTCTGCCGTTCGATGCGTGTGTTTTTTACCATCTCAAAGCATTTCTTCCTCCTCGTTAAGGAGAAGGACGCTACCTCGGGGCTTGCTGTTGGTTTCTTCCCCGTTCATTTGATGGGTTTGTGTAATGATTCGTAATGAGGACGAGGATGGGGCCCATGCAAACGAAAGAGTGTGGACTGCACTGCGTTGGCATCTGATTGATGGCAATTCCTGAGAGCGACTCATCCCGACTATGCCATCACAAAAGATGTGGGTCCCGTGACACGAGAATTTGAGTCGTGCAATGATTTTGGAGTTGAATTGTTCGTTATTTCCCTATTTATGTTAGAAATTGGGCGATTTTTCTATCAAAGCTTCATAAAATTTTCATGTTTTCTCATGTAGCGTCTTTTTTTTTTTTTGATAAAATGAAAAAATTGATAATACGTTTTTCTAATTTTTCATCTTGTCCAGATCAACCGGTTCAATCCAATTAATTGAACCCAATCAAACCACAAAATAAAATTATATTTTATTAATTAAAGACGGTATATATCTAATACAATTATATATATATATATTTAATTTCTCCACACACATAAATATTTTTCTTTCAAATCCAAAGTACCCTAAATCCACGGGAAGCAAAGACGGGACCGAAGAGAACCCTAACCCTGTGCAGGAAGGGGAGGAATTGAAGCTTACGTAGAGGTTTTCCTGGACGGTTCTGGGATGGCAGCTTCTTTCCGGCGATCGCCTCCAATCCCAACCATTCATTATCTCCTCCCTGGACAGAGACGGGCGAAAGCCCCTGCAACTTCCTCCTATTTCCCGCCCGCTCCCCTTCCTCAACTTGTCCCTTGGACCGCAGGCACCTTTCGTCGTTGGCGTGGGTAATCCAAACCACGGGAGCTGCTATCACCGACCTCGTCATCGTCGTCGTCGACCCAGCAGCACCGCCTTCCGGGGCTGCGAATGTAAGCATAAAAATCGGAAAATTCCCCACTGCTGCCTCCCGTAGGAGTCTGGGCCGTGTCTCAGTCCCAGTGTGGCTGATCATCCTCTCGGACCAGCTACTGATCATCGCCTTGGTAAGCTATTACCTCACCAACTAGCAAGCCCCTCCTCCTCCGGCGGATCAGCTACTGATCATCGCGATGTCATCTAAAAGGATTGATTTTTATCCCATAGTTATGATTAATGGATTAGAGACAATGGAGGATGAGAAAGAAATCATAATCTCTCATATATCCACGGTTTATGTTCGTTGTTTAGTCATGTTTATATATGTAATTTCTCACGTATCCTCGTACTCTGTCACCTCCACCCCTCCTCGTTGGTCTCCACCTTCGTTGTTTAGTCATGTTTATATAAAGTATTTTAAATTTATAATAAAACTAAATAACTAAAGTTATTTAAAAAATATATATTAATTTAGATATATAATTATCCTAAATTACTCAGAAAACCATCGTTACACTCATTTTGTAACTCAAGTTACACTTATTCACAAAATATATTAAAAATTATATTAATTTTTATATAAAATTATTTTTAATTCATCATAAATTGAAAACATGTCATAGTAGTTCCAAATAATTTTAGATTAGTTTGATCAAAATTAATTCAAATTACACTCAATCACATATTTGATAAAAAAATTTCTCTAACGAGTGATGATGTTATAGCTCACCAAGCGACGTTATTGCTAGTCTGTAGTATGCTATTGCTAGTGGTGGTCTCATCTAAACTTATAGTAGAACTATCTTAGGCCATAATATCATATTTAAAATTTTTAATTATTTTTAATTTTTAAAAAATAAAAAAAATAATACTAAATATCTTATAACAATTTGCTTTGGAGAAGTTTGATTTTTTTAATAAAAAAATAACTTTAGTTATACTCGATTATATATTCAACACAAAAATACTATATGGTTAGCTCTTCACAGGTGCAAGCAATCAAAGGAGGATGATTGACGGGTATAGAATAGTGATTTGACAGATCTAGAGTTATCATTAAAAAAAATATATTATCTATAAATTATTCAAATTTCGAGTTTTTTTAATTCCTCCTAAATTTTATCATTATTCTATATTCTATATTATATTATTATTATTATTATAACAGCGACCGGATCAATTCCGTTACTTCTCGTACCCGTTTTCCGGATTCCCTGCTCGCCGACTCCCTCCTGCTCTTAGGGTTTTAAGTTCATCCAATTCCACCCCAAAACCCTGCCCTTCCCATCCCTTCGCATGGCCTCCGACCCCAAGGATCCCCGCCCCCTTCCCCCCTCCGACGTTGCCGACCACCGGAAGGTCAAGCTCATTTGCAGTTACGGCGGCAAGATCCTTCCCCGCCACGGCGACGGTGCCCTCCGCTATGCCGGCGGGGAGACCCGCCTCATCACTGTCCGCCGCGACTCCCTCCTCCCGGAGATCCTCCGCAAGGTGGCCGAGGCCTGTGGCGGGCCGGTTGTCCTCCGCTACCAGCTCCCCGATGAAGACCTTGACGCACTCATCTCCGTCTCCACCACCGAAGACCTCGATAACATGATGGAAGAGTACGACAGGCTCGCCGCCGATAGCCCCTCTGCGAAGCTTCGAGTCTTCCTCTTCTCACCCTCTGAAGTCACGGGCGCCGGTGCCGCTTCCTTTGCGGTCCACATTGACCTTCAGGAAACTGGCACTAGGTATCTCGATGCTGTAAACGGATTAGATTCGAGCATCAGGAGAAAGGATAGCGCGACGAGCTTCTCATCGACGCAGAATTCGGATGGAACGACTGCCGCCGCCGCCGACGAGGTGAACAATGAAGGTACATCACCGGCTCATGTGTCTCCCACTGCTGCATCTGCTCAAGACACGTTGAAGTTGGTTTTTGCTGGTCAAGATGTTCTTGATCTGCTGCCGCCTACTACTAGTTCTAGTGAACAAACCGAATTATTGAGTTCAACTCAATCCGGATGGCCTCCTCTGGTGCCAGATCAAAACAGAGTGTTGAATTCAACTCAAACTGACTTGCCTTCCGTTGCATCATATGTTCCACAGTCCTACATTGATCCACAACAAGCTCAAATCTTAAACCCCCAATATTTACCAGTGATGGGATTGCCTCTGCCAATTAATGTGGTTCGTGTGCCAGCACCAGCATATATGCCGCCATCCCACATTGCCGATCCAATGTCCCAAGTCAGTAATGGGACTTCGGTTCAGACAAAGGTGAATCCACACTCGCAAAATTCTAATGTTGACAAGACCGCCAAGTTTCATAGTGATGTGAAACTTCAGTCTTTGTCTCAGCTTCCTCCTTTGCCTTCTCCGTACTTGCTTGCACCAAATGTGGAACGTAGTGGGCTGCACCAAGTGTCTTCATCGTCTCAAGGTCATACGAGAAGATTTGAGGATTGTAATATGTGTCAAAAAGCCATACCTCATGCCCATTCAGTTACTCTAATAAAGGAACAGGGTAATGGTCTCAGAAATGTTGTTCCTGAGGTGAATGTGGTATTGCAGAGTCACCATTCCGAGGATTTAACAAGCATGCGAGGACAGCAAATGATAGATGTCGGAATGCTGGTTGACGGTGTGGTGGAAACTCAAGCCGAGAATTTGGTAGCTACAGCTCCATCTAAGACCTATGAGTTCAGCGAGACTATCCCTGGGATTCCATGGGACAGTGGGAGGCCAGTTGTTGTGAATGCAGCCAATCCATATTATGCTAAGGTTTTTGTCCCACCAGTTTCTGTGGGTTTTCCAGGCACCTCACAAGCATCACATGGAACTGTAACCAATCCTCAGAAAGCTCAAAAAGTGGAGTCAGTGCAAGAGCAGCAAGAAGTGCCACTGTCTTTGGGTCTCAACATGGAAAATCTTGATTATCCAAACATTTCACTTGCACCGGCTTCATCGACCCTGCCATGTGGCCCTTATGGAATGCTCGTCATTCCTCAGTTTCATGGAGAGGATTACTTGCAACAGCAGACCCAATTGCCTCAGCATATTGGGTTATCTAACTATCCTGTTGATCATAATTTCATTGTTGCCAGCACCAGTTCAGTTAGAAATTCAGATTATCGAGAAGTTGGACAATCAGTCAATGGAACTGTGCCTGCATTCTTGTTTGACTATGTTAGACCTATCAATGGGACACATCGAGCAATTTGCACAATTCCCCCTGGGGATCCGGGTTTCAGCAACCAGCCAAGACCAGTTGTGATTCCTGTTATTGGTACCTCCAAGAATATAAAGCCTGAAAATCCACCATTGGTTGTAGTGAACACTCATAATGCTGGACCGCAGCATAAGGAAAATGAGTTGTCTCATGGTGATCCCCTAATTAGTTCTGTAGTTGTTCCAGAAGGAAATGCTGGTCCACAAATTGATAAACAGCTATCTGTGATGAGTGATGTTGCTTATGAACAGAGTGTTCAACCTTCCAACACCAGCCACATTCCAAATATGACGTGTAAACATGGACCCTACTCATACCATCTTGAAGCAGGAGTTGGACCAAGAGGGATGTTCAAGTATGTAGATCCCAATAACAATGCCATCAAGAACAACGTTATTGGTGAACAGAAAGATGAGGTTCCCAGCCTTCATCCAGTTGAAGTATTTTGTGACATAACTATTCCTCAAAGTGACAATGCTCAGATTTACACTATTCACCACGCTAGTAACATGAACCAAATCCAGCGAGCCATTTCATTAGACCCACTTGCGAGCAGCAAAGATCCTCAGAAAACCCTTACTGTTCTGCCTCCAATACCTAGTGAAGTTTCCAACAGAGAATCAATAGCTATGAAGGAATTGTACAACAAGAATTCTGTGAATAGCATGGGCTCTGAGGTAACCGTTCCTGCAGGTGTTTCTAGCCACTTACCTGAGTCTCCAAGAATGGACTCGCCCAAAGAGCTTGTGTGTCCACTCAAAGGTCTCGCCCCCTGTTTTGCTGTATGAAATGTCTTATTGCTGATTTAAAATCACTGATTACCACATTATTAAAATCATCATCTCTTTGGCTGTTAAACTCAGAAGATGTCCATATTAAGCAAGATATCCAGACTTCTGAAGGGAAAGCATCAGCAGCAGCACTGCAGTCATCTGAAGTACCAGTACCTGTTCTCATTTCTCATGAAACAGAAGAGGTCAGTCGACTCAGTCCTAGTTCTAACAGAGAAAGTGGCACCATAGAGAATACCTTAGAGAAAGATGATGACCAGAGTAAGGTGATGGGCACATCCTTTTTCATGTTTTCTACAACTACTCTTATTAGATGCTAAAAATTATTGTAACACAGGCCATCAAGACCAAACAGTCAGAGAATTTAAAGAATGGTTTTCCAATTACAGATGACATTGGACACCTTCAGGTTAGAAGATAAGTTCAGTATGTTCTTCATGTGTTAAACTTGTGCAATTGTAAGGTCAAGTTGACATAGTCTCTTGGTAAATGCTGAGATTGTTGGTTGCTGTTTAATCCAGGTAATAAAAAATAGTGATCTGGAAGAGTTGCGAGAACTTGGATCGGGAACATTTGGGACTGTGTATCATGGCAAATGGAGAGGTTCAGATGTTGCAATTAAAAGAATCAATGACAGGGTTTTTGCTGGGAAACCATCAGAGCAGGAACGTGCAGTATGTGTCTCCATAGATTATTTGCTTCCTATGTTTCCTTTTCCTATAGAATCCATGCTTACATATGTGTCTATGCATAAGCTCAGAGGGCTGACTTTTGGAACGAAGCTTGCAAACTTGCCAGTTTGCATCACCCTAATGTTGTGGCATTCTATGGTATTGTTCTGGATGGCCCTGGAGGATCCATTGCAACAGTAACAGAGTTTATGGTTAATGGTTCCCTTCGGCGTGCTTCACAGAAAAATCAGAAGTATTTGCTCATTTTTAATTTCATGTTTATCTATTTATCTTTTTCCATTGAAAAATGCATGCAACTTTTTCATAATTGTATGGCGTTAGTATTTTGGGACAGCTTAACTCATTCCTATCTTTCAACAGGATCCTCGATAGGCGTAGATGTCTTCTTGTTGCGATGGATGTGGCATTTGGCATGGAATACCTGCACAATAAAAATATTATACACTTTGACCTGAAAAGTGATAATTTGCTTGTCAACTTGAGGGATCCTCAGCGCCCAATATGCAAGGTGAACTTTATGCTTTCTACTGACGCCATAGAATTCTTTTGAATGCTGTTTGGAATTTTAATATTATCAGCAATGCTGGAGGTTTTTATGATAAAGAGCAACCCTCAGGTGTTCAAATTACTATTTTACTGTTTTACAGATCTAATAACTTCCTTGAGTGAACAAACTGCTTATAACTAGCTAATACTGTCCATTTTTATGTAGCAAATATTTTATCAAAAATGAGGTCAAGGATTGAAGTTCTGGCAGCATTGGGGGTGCCATTTCATGCATTTGGTCATTGTCTTGTCAGAACCACCCTTAATTGATGGAATCTATTCTTCCTGGTTTCGGGTGTCCCTTGTGCACTGATTTTTCACAAGACTGAAATCATCGAAGCCTACTGTTATAGAGAGTAGACAACACATGTCTGAAATATATGGAAGTAAAAGAGTTGCCTGCTTTAAAAAGTACCAGTAACAAAAAGAAATGCTTCTGAGTTCTAAGAAATAAGAAAACAGAATTAAGTATTAGTAATGTTTTCTCTTGATCAATTTTTGTTTTCTTTATTAAAACAAAAAGAAATTGTAACACAAAGCAGGCGCTTAAATACTTGCTTGTCTGGTGTAACATCATTTGCGGGTTTTGCTACGTCAAAGTCAGGGTGTCACCGGAAACTTATAAATACCTTTTCTCCAAGCACCTCATGCAGGTTGGTGATCTTGGTCTCTCAAAAGTAAAATATGAGACATTAATGTCTGGCGGCATGCAAGGAACGCTGCCGTGGATGGCTCCAGAACTTCTTTCTGGCAAAGATAACAGGTACACTGAGAAGGTAATGCTTAATCACATAATTTTTGTATTTTATATCTTAATATCTAGTTGATATGTTACTTTTCATGCTACAGGAGCTCTGTGAATGATTTAACCATGTACTGTTAATGTGATGACTTTATGGCTAGGTCGATGTATTTTCTTTTGGGATTGTGATGTGGGAGCTCATTACCGGAGAGGAACCATATGGAGACATGCATTATGGAGCAATTATAGGTGACTTTTCTTTTCATATCGTTATAATATATTATTCATGATTTGACTGACAATGCGATGATAACCCAAGAGAGGTTCCGTTGAGCCTCTTTATCATAGATATGCGTTGTAATGTTCTTTTTCCATATGTGATGAGCACGACTGGAACTTGTGATTTAACAAGCAAGAATTGTCTCTGGGAGAACTTATCTGCCTCGGTGCCTCTCCTATTGCAGAATTTTCACTGATGGTGTGCAAACCAGCACGCACCAGTAATATGTATTTCTTTTGGCATAAAAACTTTCATGCCTATTCATTATTTATTTCAATAGGTGGGATTCTGAACGACACACTGCGGCCTCCTGTGCCTGAATCGTGTGACACCGAATGGGGATCACTGATGGAGCAATGCTGGTCCACCGAACCTTCGCAGAGACCAAGCTTTACAGATATCGCTACCAGGTTACGGGCTATGGCAGCCGCACTTCCTCAGAAAGGATGAGCTGCAGCAGCAGTCCGACCAAAATATGGTGCTCCTACTCATCGATGCCATTGACTGACATGTTTGTGACCCTTTTTTTTTTTTGTGCAGCACAGCTCTTTGCGACGTGGTTCTGCTGAAGGCAGTACCCATATGACTTGTGAAGAGAACCCTCTCTCGTGTTTCACAACAAGATCTACGCATGCTTGCTTTTCCAATTTGTTCATTCTTTTTTACTCACGACTGGCTGGGCATGTGAATGGAAAAGCCTTATAAATCTCTTGAGAAGATAGCTTCTGGCCTGCTGTTGTTGCATGTTCATATAAAGATTAAAGAGTATTGCAGTGGCTGTAGTTAACACATTAATATCGGAACTGAGACGTATCACATTTTTTGCTTGTATATTGTTCAATTCGGAAGATCCCAATTTTGAGAGCTATGATTCTATTTCAATCGAATTTAAAATTAAATTAAAAATATATATGAATCATTTTTAAGGATATTTAGCTTTTTAAAAATTTTCAGACCAGCTCAAAACCGAACTGAAATCACTGATTTCAATTTGCAATGATTTTGAACTGTGTGACCATTATGATTTTGAACTGTATACCTAATATCCCGCTTTAGTTATAATTCAAACTTAACCAAACCAAACCGAAGCCAATGACACTCCAACGGACTCAAAATTCAACAGTCGAGAGAAAGAGGCAGAGGTAGGATTGACGACAAATTGTGATAAGTCAACAAATTCATTCAACTTCAATAAGAAAAATTGCAGTGCAGCACAATTTTTGCCTTTAAAAAGTGTTTCCTTGCTTTTACCATGAAATCCTTGCAAAATTTATGTATGAAATATCATCCTCAAACATATGAAATTGGTTAATATCTCATCCTACGTCAGGCAATATTGCTCACACTCATCAATTCTTGAGTTTATCATTTCTAGATTAACCAAATTCGTAAGCATTAGTATTAAAAGGACCACTCCCCATCACCTGAAGACTTGCATGAATGTTCCACTTCTTTAGGACGCTGGAATATTTCAGCCACCGATGAATGGGGAAGTTAGTTTTTCTTTCTTTTTTACTGCCTCCTGCTGTTTGCCGTCTTAAACTTGCTGAGGTTGGAAAGCTCCTCGATCAGCTTCTTTTCTTCACTACTTAACCTCTTTGGGATCTCTACCTGCACACGAACCAGCTGGTCTCCCCTCATGTTTGGCTTTCCAAGATATGGAACCCCCTTCTTAGCCATAACTAGGGTCGTACCTGGCTGCGTCCCAGCAGGAATCTTCAGGTCCACCTTTCCTTCCACCGTCGGAACCTTCATGGTAGTCCCTAGGATTGCATCGATATATGATACCTTGCATGTGTAGAGAATGTTGGTTCCATCCCTCTTGAGCACAGGGTCTGATAGAACTTCGATGAACACATACAGGTTGCCAGGTGGGCCACCCCGCCTTCCAGCATTCCCTTCCGACCGAACCCTCAGTCGACTACCAGAGTCGACTCCGGCTGGAACTTTCAGGCTTATCCTCTTTGTCTTCCTCACACACCCATCCCCTCCACAGCTGCTGCATGGGGTAGAGGACTCACCAGTACCGCTGCAAGTTGAGCAAGTCATAACTTGCTGGAATACACCCAGAGGGGTCCTTGCCGAAGAGACAACCTGACCTTGACCTCCACAGGTGTTGCACTTGCTTGGCGTCGTGCCAGGTTTGGCGCCAGAACCATCACAAGTTCCACACCTTTCTAGCCGTGTAATCTCTATCTCCTTCTCCACACCGAAAATTGCATCTTTGAAATTTAGGACAAGATTGTAGCTCTCATCATCACCTTGCATAGGCCTGTTGCGAGCAGCTCTTGCTCCTCCCATCCCACCCATTCCTCCCATCCCTCCCATGCCTTCAAATAATGACTCAAAGATATCAAATGGGTTGCCATAATCCTGTGGTGAAAACATTAATAGAACATTAGAAGAAAAGCAGCAGAAAAATTATGGAAAGACATTCTTTTACAGGAACAGGATAAAGTCAACCCCTAGCTGATACTCACCCCCGTGCCCATGCCAGCACCTTTGAGGCCAGCTTCTCCGTACTTATCATATATTGACCTCTTTTCATCATCTGACAGGACCTGTAAGAAAGCAACTTATAAAGACATCAAAATTAATGACATCAGAATTAAGTTTTACGAGGATTGCTGCTAAATCTACCAGTTTGTATAAACATGTCCATAAGAAGAGGAATAACCTCATATACATTGCTGATCTCCTTGAATTTCTGTTCTGCTCCAGGTTCTCTAAAACAAATAACAAGCAGTAAAACTTAACCCTGCCTCAAGTTTTAGCAAGATTGCTCATAGCTGGAAAAATCAAAAGATCAATAATAAAACCTATTACAAGATGAACTACTGTTTGAATCATCTATTGCAAAACCGATTGGTCTGGTACTGTTTGGTTGGTTTTTACCAGTCGGACCTCCAACTAGTATGTGTACCAGCCCAAGACAAGCAATCCGATCTGGTTCAGTATAATTATATATAATATTAATCTTTTTATATTTAACCCTATGCCAAGGCTTACCTTGCCCGACTCAACCATCACATCTTCTTCACCCACCGTCACCACTCCCATGCCCGCTGCTTGTCGGCCCACCACTACTCACACCCGACGCTTGTTCTGGTATGCTTTCTCTTTCTCCTCTAATTCCTTGTTCTCTTCTTCCTAAGCAAAACTTCATCCCTTAGCACTCAAGAACTTCATCCTTTCTACCAGTTTGCTCAGTAATTATGAAACAAAGAAGAAAATTGTAAGAAACTATGCATACTCGTCCAATTGTCCCATTCATCATAAACCTAATTCATCTGCTATTATTTCGCTGTTATTTATAACTATTTATTTTTCTTTATTTTTTGATTTTTTTAAGGTTTATTCCTTCTCCATGCTCTTCCACTTATTTCTTCCTTCCTCTCCTTGTTTTCCCACTCCTTCCTTCATTCTCATAGTAAGAACATAAACTTTAGGTTTACATTCATTAATCTTCCAAGGCACAGAGATGTTCTTACATGCTACACCTAAATCTTGAAGGCTCAACTAAACCAGATCTCTCGTCATACCAAAAGCATGCTTTGATTTCAAGCACACAATGCCACTAAAAAGAACACATTCCAAAAGTTTTGATCCATCTTTCATGAACAATATTTTAAACAAATTAATCAATTTAAAATTTGCTGCAGAGAATTTGCCCTCCTTTCTACCCAAATGAATTGTTTGTGAAGGTGAAAACCCTTCTTCCTTCTTATTTCTTTACTGCCCCTTTGTTGGGGTTGTGAGGGGTTGAATTTGGAGCTTTTATTATTTAATTATATGTTTAGTGATCAAAATATTATAAACAAAAGATGAACAACATTTTTCTACTCACTTGTTCACATCAGGATGATAACTCCTTGCAAGCTTCCTGTAAGCTGCAACAAAAAGATGCCAACATACATTATCATGTCTACCTAAAATATAGATAAGTGTTTGTTGACAGCTAGTGTATGACTACAGAATTCAGCATATATCATTGTTATTAAGATAAGCACATAGATGGCAATATGCATAAGCAGTTGCATTGCCACAAAGAAAAACATACAGAAATAACTAAATATTCAACAAAGTGAACCAAACTATAACATCCAAATATTCCATCGGAACATATTACAAAGATAATGGGAGGACAGTCCACTAGCAATAGAGTTTGCTAATATACTTGTAACTTAAGACCAAACAAGATCCACATTCTCCTATTCAGCTAAAAGGTTCCATGTTTCATGAGTCACATCTCATGCAAACAGTTTGTGCTGATAATCTCAGTCTGAATGTTCAACTATTTAGCAAGAAAACTCTGAAATTATTAACACTTCATTTTCTTTCTTTCTTTTGCTTCATTAAATGATTGTTAGAATTAACAGGCGATTAGTCAAGAACAGATTGACTACTCATTAATTCACTTTTTCCACGATATTCGCAAATCTGATTGACTACTCATTAATTCTGTACTTTTTCCACAATATTCGCAAATCACTAAATTGATGATGCTATTGGTTAACTGCTCCCACCCTGCTTTGTTCTTCCATTATTTGCTATATATGGAAAAAGTAATTGATCTAAATTAAATATCTTTTATTCCCACATTAATTCATGTTAATACAAACTCATCAAGTTTTTTTTCTGAAACATCAAATGTTGATTTGAGATTGAGATCTTTGCCTCAGACAGAATGACTATTCCTTGTTCATGCATAGGCAGTTAACACCAAACATTTGATTGAAAGATTATAAGAAATGTTTTAATGCTATTGAATGTAAATAATTGATGCCACTGCAAATCATACTTAGCTAGCAGTAGCGAATAGTAGTTATTTCTGACAAAGGGTCATTACATGCAACTAGACAAACTCAAAAGTGGGCACATGGTCAGTAAGATGCCACAGTAAAAAAGGGAATGTTGGCTTTACTATAGTGGCTCAACTTCTGATTCAAGCATGACAGTACTGCCTAGAGAAGATTCTAATATCATGTGATGGTGCAAGGCAAACGCAAAACATGATGACTAGACTACAGAAGAGTAGAATGCTGGTCCAAATAGAGTAGTATCACCTACCTAATAATGACATAAATAAATGCCCATTTCTGATGAACTTTTGTACATAACTTGTAAGTTTCATAGAGATTAAAATAGCATCCGCACAAAGTGGTGTTTACATCCTATATAACATCATTAAATGCTATAAGAATCACAATCAATACATTTTAAGGATTTTTCACCTAAATTCAAGGATCCACATCATGAGCAGTATTGTTTAGAAAGTTATAGAACACGTAAACTTATCACCATCTATTTTATGATATTTAAAATTTTATCCATGAATGATGTTTCAGGCTGCTGAGAAGTGCACTATTTTCTTACATCACCAGCCGCTCTTGTTTTCCTTCTCCATCACCAGCAGCAGAGAAGTGCACTATTTTCTTACATCATATCCAATGTCTATTATATCATACTTTAAAAAATTGCAATTTGAGCTTGTTTATCTCAAGTCAGGATATATAAGGTCTAGCTTGTTTAAATAGTCAATTGGTTTGAGAGCAGAAGAAAGGTAAATTTAGCCTCCTATTACTACTAAAACTTACAAAGGCACCATGATAGTGAGATATTGCTGACTATTATCAACAATGGCCACAAGTCTTGAATCCTAAGCTAGACCAGGGGAAATATTAGCCAAAGAAAATATTAAATAGAGACCATGGTGTTATCAAATATTCTACATAGGCTCTTGTCGGCCATTTAACTCTGAGGTTGATCATAGGAACATGGCTTCACACTCCATCCAAATATCAGGCAGTCATCTTTATAGCCAGTCAAAATTAGTTGATAGACTTCTTTGGCTTCTGATATATTTCTTTGTTTTGTTTACACTTGCTCATGCCAGTTTGGTCCAGTTGCAGAATCTCTAAGATTGCATGCTTTTGAAAGATGATTATAATTTGTAAATCTTTGATGCTAAACATAGAATACAAGTTCATCAGACTAACATAAAGTCTAAAATGTCATAGTTTCTAAAGCAACCCACTGACTATTAAATCCCACTATTTTGACAGTAGAAAGGTGAAAAGGGATGTAAATTGTGGGTATGAGGAAAAGGGCAGGATGATAAAGACTTGTTTGTAACTAGGAGGCAGTTTACTGTATCCTTACAGTAAACTAAAAACAACTTGCATCATATGCCTATAAATGCAAAGGCAACAGGACAAGAACTACAATAGCAGCAAATAGAAAAGAAAAACTAAGTCCTGTATAGTATACTTGCCACTTTTTATTTCAGATTTACTAGCATTTCTTGATACACCAAGGACAGAATAGTAATCCTGCAAAAGATGATACCAGAAGGAAATATGATCAGATAGACATAGAATTATATTAAAATAAAACTTGCCTAGTCCATGATCAAGTAATTCAACTTCATCATAGGTTGAAAAAAAGAATGTTAGAATAGAAACAGAATCACACTCACTAGATCAGCTCTAACGATGAATCGTGCTCCCCTATTGCGCCTAGAATTTAAATGTGGCCCATTATAAAACAAAGCAGATGAAGACACTGGGGCAAGGAAACTTGCATGTGATGATGCCAGATACTTACTTGTTGAAGTACTGCAGATATACAAGAAACTAGTGAGATGAAAGGCTACAGATCAAATTCAGAAACTTAAACTTAACATACACACGAAAATGTTTTTCATTAATTTGCTTGATATCAATTTTTTAACATAATTTCTCATATTTTCTATAAGTATTTGTCAAATACACATTTGTTTTGGATCAATTTTGACTGAATCAGTGAATCTGAATTACTTCTATCCAGTTACAGTGCTTTCTATTAGAAATCAATGGTTTCAGCTGGTTCAGTTGATAACTAAGTTGAAATATCCTAATTACTAAAGGCAAATGGCCATGTAGATAGTTCCCTCATGTATTATTGTCTCAGGCAATCATCCAGGCACTTGGGTTATCACCTAGACTATGCTTGCTTGAACCATCATATATGCATATAAAGAATCATATATAACCACACATATGATATGGGTAATATATTTATGTACGAATAAATTAAATATAACTACACATGTAAGTCATACATCTACTAATCCAAATAACGTAGGCATAAACTTGACCATCCACCAAATTGTTAAAGATTTCTCACTTAGAGCTTAATCCATGTAGGTAACAGGTCAAGTTGCATTTGAGAGAAGTTCTTTAAGAAAAAATCAGGATCACATTAACTCCATTTCATCTCACTATCAAGAAAACATGTGCTTGACCAAACCACCCAATGATTTCTTGGCCTAGACCTGATCTATGTAACTGATGGGTTGTGTCAACTATATGGGTTGGACCAAGATTGGCACCTCAACATATATGTATAAGTTTATTTGAAAATCAATGAGATATATTTACGTTAAGGTTGTCGCCTCGATATAAACCTTGGTGCCTAAGCTACCATGTTGTCACATCTTTAGATGGTTTTGTCTAAGGTGTACGACACCAAAGTGACACCTGCTCGCATGCTCGCAATTGCAATCTAGATCTTAACCTTGTGCAATTCGCTAAGACAATCTACTAAGGATCTGTATAGAGAAGATAAGGTTACAAAGTGAATGCATGAGTAATATGCCGCAATCACACACAAAAAGGGTAAAAGACTCGAGATCATAAGCAACAGAAAGTAACTTTTATCAGGCACAAAATATTCCCGCAAATGCGTTGAGCGGTCACACACAAAGGGGATTCCCAAGGCAAGTGAAGATCCAATGTTTACCTAGCACATTCATTAAACAAAAAGCGGAGACACTAACAACGTTGCACCACTCCTCAGATGTATAACCAAAATCTCATCCACCCTGGTACCACCCAGGGATTCCAATATGCTGGAAGGGTGGATGTTTTGTGTCACAAGGCAGTCAGCCAAAAATCAGAGCATGGCACACGAGAACAAGATTATTTTGCCTAGTTTTCCCTCCACATGTCGCCACACAACGACATAGGTTTCCAAGGTTTACAAAACGAAAACAAAAAACAAAAAAGCCGCTAAAAGCGAAATTGGGTTTGGCAATGGTACTGCACACCCCATACAAGTTGCACATGAGAAAATACTCAAAACACCTGAAAAAAAGGACCGAAAAGGGTCACAAACATGTATCAAACATCTTGATTTCATTGCTTCGTGACAATATGGGCATTAGTATATGATTATCAACCCAAAGTCGCTTAGGTTATTTGAGATTTCAATGCACTTATTCACTTAAGATCCATTTCCCTCTTAAAAGAAACACATATCTAGATGACCTACTTTACATTAAAATGCGAACTCACCCAAAATACCAAAATACCAAACTTTTCAGGTTACACTCCAGAAGTAAAATGTTCACGCCCAAAGAAAGTGCTGCTGAAATTTTTCAAAGATTGAGGCACTACTTCATGTTCTATTAAAGATGTAATGACAAACTTTAACATTTTAGTTATTAAACATGATCGATTAGTTTTTATGAAAACCAAGGCCTCTACTCTGTGAGTTCCAGTAAACAGGGTTCCTGGATAGATCATATGTACATATAATATTCAAGGCCTCACGACCAGTTGAACACTCGAAAAGAATCATAGCCGAATGTAATGTATCCCACCTAATTGGTAGAAGAGTCGGGGAAGAAAAAAAAACAACAAATGCATTACAAATAAGCACAGTATTGCATGTGCAGACATAATACAAAAAGATAAAACCAATGCTTACCTAATTTGAGGCATCAGCACCAATTTAGTAATACAACAAGGCCAAGATCCTGGAGATGCATTTCTAAGTGTTGCTTGAGGCTGTACCCCCAACTGAGGCACATAAGTACCTCTACATAGTACAATTGCCATGGACCTGTGCAGCTAAGGAGAAAATAATGGCAAATTCAACCTCCTGTGTTTCCTCTGCAGTAACAAAAAGGAAGATCAACTTTGTTGAAGCATTAAGAGTACAAAAGTCATGAAGATCACATGGTCATGATCCTGTTACTGCTTATAATTGTGCTCATTTTATCTGTAATAGGGGGAAAACATGAATAATTAAATATATTTCATAACATTATAGTCAATGTCAAGCACTACCAATGCTCTCCGGCAACTCTTGCTTAGTCTATGAACATGAAAAGTGATCCAACATTTTAGCCAAAAAACCTATATACGTAGCCCATGTAAAATTTCCGAACATATCAATTTATGAAAATGTCCACACCAGCCCTCACTGGTGCGAGCTCCCTGAGCTGTGAAAATGGGATGTACACTGAAACACTCCGACCAATGTTTTTCAATTCTTTGGCTCTTCATTAGACGTTGGTTCTTCAACTCTCCAACCAACATGAGACTAGATGTGACCTTACCAATTTTCTTATACAATTGGCCAATTTATGTCGTGAACAATAATATTCTACTGAGATCCTCTCAAGCTCTTACTAGCTATGATATTGCCAGTTATTTACAGGTTTGTATCAAGTAAAAGTATTTGCAGAAATTCACAATGGTTTCGCACCCTTCATTTTTCTCAATACTACCTTAGCCACTTCAGTATTCAGAACAATTCATTGTGCACAAACACAACTCTACCAACCAACAAATGAACTCCTAGATAGTAGAGATTCAATAGATCAGATTCTTGCCCACCACAGAAGCATCCGTGTCTCTCGTCTCTTCATTCCTTCAAAGATCTCACCCCTACCACCCAGAAACTACATACACAATCCACTTCCCCCAGATTCTTAGGAGATGCCTCTACATCTCCGACAAAGTAAGGAATCGATTATCAGACAGAACAACACCTCATCCCACAACAAAACTATCACGCTCAAAAAAACAACTACCAGAATCTTCCGTCGCCACCACGAGAAGTATCAAGCATAGACCTCAAGAACATGGACATTGTAGGGAGGATATCTCGGAGCTAAGAATCCACCAAACGCCATCAAGCCCGTTCGAGGAACGTAGTCTCACAACGAGATGGAGGGTTTCTGACCTGAACCGGCGGAGGCAGAAGCGGCCGCACCGATGATTCGCCTGTCCCTTCCTCTGGGAACCTCTCGGTCTGGTTCCGAGGAATGGGATAAGAGACGGAGGAAGACGGAATGCGAACGAGAACACGAGCCTTATGTGTGTCAGGGACTCGGATCTCGTCCAATTGGTGCACCAAGGCAAACGTCAGTCGTCGGATCGGATTTGATCGGAGGGCTCTCCGTCACTCTATCTCAAAGAATCATCTAGAACCGTCCAGGGTCAGTACCGCTGCCGACGGGTTGGTTTGCGCCGGACCGAACCCATCAGGTTCACTGTGTTCACCGAACCGAATTCAGCCGTTGCCGAGTCAAATAACGACGGTCCGCGGGCACACCGCATGGTAAGCGGAGCGAGCGCTCACTGCGTCAGTTCTTTGGGGCGGCGACGGAGAGGCCTTCGATCGAGCTCAGCCTCAGCGAAATTGAACTCCTAGATCAGATCATCCTCCCTCTCCTCGCATCGACTTTGCCTTCGGTGCTTGCTCGATCGAGCTCCGCCACGGCGAAAGCGATCTCCGAGATCATCTCATCCTCCCTCTCCTCGCATCGACTCTGCCTTCGGTGGTTGCTCGATCGAGCTCAGCCTCAGCGAAATTGATCTCCTAGATCAGATCATCCTCCCTCTCCTCGCATCGAGTTTTCCTTCGGTGCATGCTCGATCGAGCTCCGCCTCGGCGAAAGCGATCTCCGAGATCAACTAATCCTCCCTCTCCGCGCATCGAGTCTGCCCTGGCTGTTTGCCCCAAGGTAATCCAATCCGACGCAAACCCTACGGGCTAATAGACGGTGCAAAACAGTGCACTGGGTGATTCGACGCCAATAGACGGTGCAAGGGGTAGTTTGAATATTGTTTAAATTAGGGAGCTCATTTGAAAAATTATTCAGTAGCACTTTTTTAAAAAGATAAAAAAAATGAGGGAAATCATCCAAACATCTTTTAATTTTCATAATGTTATGAATAGCTATTAATTTGTCTTATTATACAAAGGTTGAGTACTTTTTTATTCAATTAAATTAAGATCACATCAATTCTATAAGCCTCATTATTATCCTTTCTAAACATAGTGGATGAACAACTCAAAATCGAAAAACCTATGTGGGAAAAGGTGCAACTTCTTTTGTTCTTCTTGGCTTTTATTATGTATACAAGTACATGAATATCTTGGTTACTGTTAGAATAGCGTAAAGCTTTTGGAATTAATGGATGCCTAATCAAAATTTTTGCCACAGTATTAACTAAGTACTAAGTTTAATCCATCAAAATTAGTGGATAGTGGCCTTCACAACAAAAAAGATGATGCTGATGAATATGGCTGAGTGATTGGCAGGGGAAACCATGGAGTGTCAGCAGAATTATAAGGATTCATATAGATTGGAGAGCACAAAAATGGTACAATGGCTTCAGTTCTCTTGTGTTCCTCTTCCACCTTTCTCCCTTAGTCTCCCCTCTATGCTGTCTGCTGAATTGGTGTTCATGTTAATAATTTGTTTTGCTGGTGATGAGAATGGAAACTGTATGTGTTCTGTGGTT